TGCAATATGTAATGCACCAATTAAAAAATGTAGAAAGAAAAAAATTCTACCGGTACCAAAAAAAAAAAAAAAAGCGGGGGGGCTGAGGATATAGCTCACTGGCAAAGTACACCTGTGTTCAAGCCCCAGCTCCAAAGTCATAACAACAACAATAAAGTTGTTTGCAGACCAATACAGGGTTCTGGCAATCAGTCCACAAGCCCACCTGCATAATGTAATTTTCTGTAATTCATCTTAGAGTCCCCCCTTGATGCTCCACTCGGCCGAGGCAACAGGTAACAAGTGCAGCTTCAAAGTCCCCAAGATTGGGCCACAAAATCCCAGAATATTTAGCAGGACCGAATATGGGGGCGCGCTGGGGAGAGGGCGAGTTGGCAGTATCTCAATGGTCCCTTTGGTGCTGCAGTTGGCACCACATCTGCTCTGGGCTTGAGAAGGGGGAGTGTTTTGTGAGCCCCCTACAGTCCCAACCAGCTGGTAGGCTAGAGAGCCTTTCCTCAGTGGGAGTAGCAGTGCATAATCCCAGCAGCTCAGGAGGCTGAGACAGGAGGATCAAGAGTTCAAGGCCAGCCTCAGCAATTTATTGAGGCCCTCAGGAACTCAGCAAGACCCTGTCTCTAAATAAAAAAACAGGAAACACATAAACCAGCTTTTCTACTCTTAGGGATGCTACATGCATCCCTTGGGGCAATGAGCACAGAAAAATAGGAAAAGGTAGGAAAGAATAAAACAGATTAAAACAGAAATATATTGCATGGCTAGGCGCAGTAGTACACCCCTGTAATCCCAGTGGCTTGGGAGGCTGAGGCAGGAGGATTGCAAGTTTGAGGCCAGCCTCAGCAATGTAGTGAGAACCTGTCTCAAAAATAAAGAACAAAAAAGGGCTGAGGATATGGCCCAGCAGTAAAGGGCCCCTGAGCTCAATCCCCAGTACCACAAAATTAAAAAAAAAAAAAGAAATACATGTGTGTTCTGAGCAGATCATGCTGGTTAAGGAGGGGGGAGGTCACTGGAGAGGCCAAGATGCACACGTCCAGCCAAGAGGCAACAGTACAGGGGAGAGAAATCAGAGCCATCTGGAAACAGAACGAGGTGGGGACTGGGTTAGGGAAGGTGGGGAAGGAAGAAGCATCAAGAGTGGCCTGAGGGCCGGCCTGAGGACATAGGAAGGCTTCACCTTGTACTTGGTACACTGGCTTCAGGAACACTCTCTTCCTCTGAAACCCCTCCACCTGGCCAGCTCCTACTCAGCCTTCGGATCTTCATTCATTCAAGCGTCTCTATGCAGAGCTTCCTTGCCTGCCCCAGGGCCAGGTCTGGCTCCTTGGAGGCCCTCAGTGTGCCAAGGAATGTCCCCAGGATCTGTTGGGTCTGAGTTGATGGGGGCTCACTCGCATCCCCAGTGCTCAGCACTTAGTAGCTGCTCAACAAAGGCTCCAAAACACAGGCAGAAGAGACAGGACTATATCCTGCAGGCTGGCCTTTCACAAGGAGAATGTGGTTGCTGGGTTTCCAAAGACAGACTCCCCCCATGTTCCTCTCATGTTCACTCCCAAAGGGAACGCGTTGTCACTCTGACTGTATAAGATTCTGTGTGTGTGTGTGTGTGTGTGTGTGTGTGTGTGTGTGTGTGTGATCATTTGCACACAAGTCTGGAGGCAGAAAACAAAGTTGACACAGTTTGCTGTTAGCAGGGGCCCATCCGGGTGCCAGGGGATGAAAGCAAGAGACGAATACATTGGCCTGGGAGCACAGAAGGTAGAGGGTGGGGCACAGAGATGCCCTTGACACCAGAGCAGCAGATGGTAAGTGCAGTCCTCACCTTCTGTGGGCCTCCCTACTCTTTTTTTTTTTTTGCACTGAGCCTTGAACCCAGGTCCTGGTGCATGCTAAGTAAATGCCCTGCCACTGAGCTACACCCCAGCCACCGAGCCTGCTCTGAGGAAAACAAATGCTCCCACAACCCACTGCTATGTGGCTCATTCATTTACTTGTCTAGGAAGGTGCCTGGCCTTTGTGGAAGCTCAATTCTCTACCCACTATGGCAGGAAGGAGAGAACCTTCTCCAAGTGCTCAGTGAGTCGTGGGAGAGGCCAGTCAGGTAACCAAGCCTCAGGGATTACCATTCCCGCTGGGAAAAGCTGCTGTGCGGATTAAAGCAGATAATGTATAGGAAAGTCCAGGCAGTTTAATAAACTCGGGTTCAGAATCTGGGAAGAGAGAAGCCGGGCTGACGGGGGGGAAAGGACAGGAGGCGGCGCTGGGTGGATTGACACAGATGGGTCCCTGGAAAGAGCCCCACCTGGAAACCTCAAGGGGCCTGGGGGAACCCCCATGGGCCACAGCACCGTGGACACCCCTGCCCCACCCAGCCGGCTGGCAGGAATTTGCCCTGGTGACCTCCCCCAGGCACACTCCTGTCACTATGGAGACAGGCTGTGGAACAAGCGGCTTGATTGTCCCTGCTCAGCGGGGCAGGTGAAACCCTGGCCACGTGACCGATACTGGGCCAGGTGCGGTTATGGAACACAAGCCACCTCCCACCTTAACCCATTCAACACCGCCACCACCACCAGTGCAGTGTCCCTGCTGCTTCAAGCCACACCCCTTTGGCCCTTGGTCCCCAACCACAATGGCAGTGACGAAATACAGCAGCATTGCACTAGGGTCAGTGGAGGGCAGATTCCAGGAAGGAATCCGGACTGGGCCACCCACTGGCTGAGTGACCCACTGGCTGGGTGACATGGAGCTGGGTCAGTTTGCCTCCTCCCTTTCCTTGGGGGAATGGATGCCCCAGGAAGGCTGGGATCACCAGGAACAAGCATGTGAAAATGTACTCTCTACCCCACTGGCCTGACACTCCCGCCTGAGAGAGGGAGACCCTCACCAACCCACAGCGGGCCTGCAATAAACTGGGGAGGGTGGGTGGGCAGCCATGGGCCTTCCTCAACAGCAGCGGGTCCTTTACAGGCAGCTGCCACCCGCCCACCACTTTCTCTGGAATGTTCACACGGAAACCTCAAACCGACAGGTTTTTCTGCTTACCAGGCCCAACCTTGACCAGCTGGGTGACAGGGCTGGGCTGGGGGCTAGGGACTGAGTACAGGCCTCAAGGCAGAGGTGCCCCCAACTCCCAGCTCTTTGGCTCCAGAGCGAGAGGTCAAAGGTCATGGGACAGGCTCAGGTTACAAGGCTAGACAGTAGGGAGGGGGTAGTGTTTGAAAACACCTTTGAAATACTACCTTTCTGAACAAGTAGCCTCCATTTCCTGCTTCCCCAGCTCTAGAAAAGCACCCTTGGATGACCCCTCCCAGGCCAAGACCAGCCCCATCCGGGGCTCAGGTGTCCCCATCACACCCCTAATAAACTAAGCTGGCAGCAAAAGAGCACACCACCTGGTGTTCTAGAGTCCCCAGTGACCCCAGGGCCCTCCTCAGATTAGAACAGAACACCTGCTGAGAGCCCCAGACAAGGAGAGGGCACCTGGGAGTGAGAACACAATTTACTTCCCAAAGGAGGTGGGGGAGCGCAGGTGTGTCACTGGGGGCCCACGGGTCATGGTCTGGAGGGAGCAATGGCCTGGCTACCTACTGAAGCTCTGCGTAAGCACTTGCAGGTGCTCTTGAACCCCTTGATGATCATTCAGCAAAATTACTATTACACCTTGGACACAGGAAACTGGCCTAGGGCAGACACAGGAAAGGCCAGCTCTAGAGAACTGTGCAGGAGTTTGACAAATGCTTTGAGGACACGGGGTAGAAAAGATTCATCTCAACTCAGGAAATCTGGGAAGAACTGAGAGGAGGTGGCAGTTATCCTGGGCCCTGAAAGATGGGCAGGATTCTAGAAGGCCAACATAGCCCCAGAAAAGGGAATGCGGGAAGGATCTCACTGGGGGAGCCTGAGAGTGCTTTGATTTAAACTCCTAACTTTAAGGACAGAGAGTCCCTGAAGGCTTCTAAGCAGAAGGACCCCTTGATGACACCAACTGGGAAAGAAAAAAATCAAAAGCAGCTACTCTTGAAAGTGTTAAAGGATGGACTGCAGGGGAGGCCAGCTGAGACCTGAAGCAACCTAGCCCAAACTGGGAGAGACCAGGACAGCTGGCTGGGGTTCCCAAACGAAGTGGTTTCCATGCAAGATGAGCTAAGTTCTGAGGGTGGAAAGATGAGGATTGCCTGTTACTCTGCTGCTAAATGGCAGGGTGCCGATCTGTCCAGCAAATGATCGCAATAGTGCAAACATCTGGCTGGGATTTGACCCTAGTCTCGGCCCTGACTCGCATCAGGAAAGGGACCAGACCGAAATTCTGGTTGTTTCTTGCACAAATCTTTTACCCTCTCTGCGCTTCAATTTTCTGTGAAAAGCCCATAGGGGTTGAAGGTGATCTCTAGAGCTCCTCCTAGCTCTTTCTAGAGGGGACTTCAGGACGCATAAAGTGCTCCCGTACCGTCGAACCCCAGCTGTGGAGCATGGCGCCACCAAGCTGGCGCCCGGACGACAGAAGCCACTCCTGGCGCCTCTCACCCCCGCGCCGGCGGCATAGAAAGAATGGCACCCACCCAGTGCGGTGCGTGAGGACAGATGAAGAAGCCAGGTGGGGGCTGGGCGCCGGCCAAGGCAAAGCCTCTCGGGCTTGCCAAGGATCCGCCCCGAGGCCGCGCAAGCTCGCGCTCTGAACTGGGGCCGTGTGCAGCGGCGCAGACCGGATTCCCAGATCGCTGTGCCACCTGCGTAGAGCAGCGCACGACGGGGCGGGGCGGGGCGGAGCCAGAGTATCGGATGGCTCCGCCCAGGGCGTGGCCAGGGGCACGGCCGAGCGCAGCCTGCCGAGATTACGTAGAGACGCACGGAGCGGGGCCAGGGGGTGGACTGGTCTTTGGGATTACGTAAGGGGACACAACCAGGGGGCGGGGACTCGATGGACTCTTTGCGGGCTAGGAGAGGGGCGGGGCTCCAGACAGAAATGGGCAGGGCTCCGTGCGAAGGCGGGAGGCGGAGCGTGGGCAGGCCGTCCCCTGCGAGGTGCGTGCCGGGTAGTAGCCGGCATGCTCTGCTGGGCCCGATCCTGCAGGCTTCCCCGTGGGGCGCTCGGTCCCTCCACTCCCAGCTTCTCGAGGGTGCCCGTCATACGCAGCAGCAGCAAAGGCCAAAGGGAGGGCAAGCCGAGGTCAGTCAAGGGCACTGGGAAGTGGTGCCCTCTGCTCCTCCTCCCGCCCAGCCCCGATGGCCTTAACGGCCCCTCCTCCCCTTGGGCCCACCCCCTCCCCCGTCTCTCCTTCGGCAACCCTCCCCCTCTCCCAACTCAGACCCTCCCCCCATCGTCCCCGCAGGCCGCTACCGCTGTCCTACAGGCTTCTGGACGGGGAGACGACCCTCCCGGCTATAGTCCTTCTGCATGGGCTTTTCGGCAGCAAAACCAACTTCAACTCCATTGCCAAGGCTTTGGCCCAGCAGACAGGCCGGAGGGTGAGCTTCCGGGTGGGGCGGGGCCTATGAGTGGGGCGGGGCCAGTCCCTAACCCTCACTTTGGGGGCCCTGGTTGAGGAGTGGCAGTTTTCTGGACACTGTAACCCTGAAGCAGAAATGGAAGAAGTCCTTCCAAGGATGAGTTCGCTGTTCCGGCGAACCCAGGCCTTGGAGGGACTCCCCATTCCTATTCCCTCATGCTGCCACTTGTCCATCCTTCGTTCATGTTTTAGATCTCCACTGGCCTGCTCCACACTGAGCTAAGACCAACACCCTCCCTTTGAAAGTCCCTGCTTGTTCACCAGGGACGGCAGGGAGCTCACCACCTCTTAACGTTCCTCTGTTGGAAATTCTTGGAGTCTCCTTCTGGACTTATTCCGGGGCTACACCTAGCCAGCCCATTCCTTCAGAGACGTGGTCACACCCCTTGGGCCTTCTCTTTTCTTGCAGAGCATCCCCAGTTCTCCATCTGGACCTCTTGGGTCTGGGCACTGGGCACTCTCACAATCTGAGCCCTTCCCCCTCCTCAAGGTCTGTCTCCAGACTCGCCCACCTTGATCTGCAGTCCCTATTGGGATACCTGTGCTGCTCCATCTCCCCAGGTGCTGACAGTAGATGCTCGGAACCATGGTGACAGCCCCCACAGCCCAGATGTGAGCTATGAGGCCATGTGCCAGGACCTGCAGAGCCTCCTGCCCCAGCTGGACCTGGCACCTTGTGCCCTCATTGGTCACAGTATGGGAGGAAAGACAGCCATGCTGCTGGCGCTCCAGAGGGTGAGCCGCCCCTGTCTGGGGCTACCTCCCTCCAACTTAGACCTTAGATGCCCAGCAGGTGACCTGGGACTCATAAGCCTTAGAGGGCCAAGTTTGGGCTCCAGGAACTGGGCCTGCTCTGAGACTGGTCCCCAGTCCAATTATCTCCCACAGCCAGAGCTGGTAGAACGGCTGATTGCAGTGGACATCAGCCCAGTGAAGACCACAGGCACCTCAAAGTTTGCGACCTACGTGGCTGCCATGAAGTCCATAGACATCCCAGATAAGATGCCCCGCTCCCAGGCTCGAAAATTGGCCGATAAGCAACTCAGCCATGCCGTCCAGGTAATGCACCCAAGCTCCCTGATGGTACTGAGACTAGGATTTGTCAAGGGCAGAGTGGTGGCCTCACAGGGAGCCACCCACCTGCACTCAACTTTAGACCCCCACAGGACATGGCCATGCGGCAGTTCCTGCTCACCAACCTGGTGGAGGTAGATGGGCACTTCCAATGGAGAGTGAACTTGAATGCCCTGGCTGAGCACTTGGATGAGATTATGAACTTCCCACCACAACAGGAACCCTATTCTGGGCCAACTCTCTTCCTCCTTGGTGGAAGTTCCCATTATGTGTGGTAAGCCAGCCCCAGCTACAGGAGGGCCACACCTTACTCCCTTAGCCCCCCAGCCTGGGGAGGACTGGGGTGTGGGCACAGGGTACCTGAGAGCCTGGAAACTACTGGGCATGTGGACTCAGGTGGCTCTCCCTCTCTCCCCACCCTACCCCTGCTTGTCCCTTTCTGTCCCCATTTACTCCTTCTCAATGGCTGCCTCTGTGATGCCCAGTCCCAGTCACCACCCTGAGATTAGACGACTCTTTCCTGGCGCCCGGATACAGACAGTGCCTAACGCCAACCACTGGGTTCATGCTGACCGCCCCCAGGACTTCATGGCTGCTGTCCAAAGCTTCTTGGTCTAAGAGGTGCTGCCTGCAAGAGGAGCAGGAGGTCCCAGGCTTCGTGTCCTTGCAGCCTGTTCATGTTGCCACACAGGACTCGGGCGCGTACTGAGAGGGCACGGGGGTGTGCAGTGGCGAGGCCTCCAGGTTTAATGAATAAAGACAATTCCCCAAAATCCTCCGACGAGTTCTCACCACCAGCGCCCCAGTCGGGCCCAGGGGCTCCTGGGAGCACCAGGGACCCCATGGGCACCCTGAGCGTCCCTGGCTTCTCTCTGCAGCTGACTCTGGACCTGCTGCCTCACCAGCTGCTGCATGTCCTCCTGGGGCAGGAGAGCAGGTTCAGGGCTGGTGCTGGACTGGCTCCCCACACCGCCCAGGCCCAGCTGGTATCCCCAACCTACCTCCCAGGCTTCCACCTCCTGCCTCAGCCTCAGTTTCTCCTCCAGGACCTCCAGCAGCTGGGCCTCCACCGCACGCAGCCTGGCCTTGCATGTGTCCAACTCGGCCTCCACTGCCCGCTTCCTGCAGGTCGCAGGGACCGCAGCCTGAGGCTCTGGGCCCTGGCGGTGGGCAAATGTGACCACAGCCCCAGCCTTAGCCACACTGTGGGTGTTCTAGTGGCTTTTCTCCAGGATCGCCTGACTCCCCCCCCCACCCAAGCAGAGGCTTGAGGATGGCCCTGTCCCTGCCCACTCAGCAGGGGCCCTGAGTGTGGCCCTCTCCCCACCCACCCCAGTCCCCACAGCTGTCCTCACTTGGCGATGGCTTCATCCCGCTCCTGCAGGACCTGGTCCAGAGAAGGCTCTGTCTGGATGGCCCCCAGTGCTCCAGCCGCTGGAGATTCTGGGCTCTGTTGTAGGGGACAGAGGAGGGGACTGTGATCTGGGGCTCCGCTAAATGAGGTGTCCCACCCTGGAATTTTCTGCCCTGGCCTTGACCCTGATGCTGGTGTCAGGAGGGGAGGAAGCTGAGGTGCCCTGTACCGGCTTCAAGCACCCTGGCCTGTGGCTGCTGGGAAGTAGAGCACAGACCTGAGAGGGCGGCAGGTGACACTGCTGCTTGGTCTCAGGGCAGCAGAATGGGCAGGGTGTTTGAGCCCCCAGAGACAGGAGTCCTCACCCCCTCCTCAGGAAAGGAGAAGGTAAGTGGGTTCAGGACACTTACCCCTTGAGAGCCCTGGACAGAAAGAGTGGCCGGGTGACGGGGACTCTTGTCGGCAGGGTGGGGCAAGGAAAGGACATGGCCCTTGCCCTCCCTTCCAGGCAAGGCACTCCCTGGCAGGCGGGACCCAGTGGGCAGGCCCCAGCAGGCGGGCCCAGGACAAGGAGCATAGGGCCCCTCCCTCCTGTCCTGCATCCTGCCCAGTGGCCTGTGCCAGTGCCTTCCTGCCCAGTCACAGGCCTCCCTTCTACTGCCTCTTGTGATGACAGGGTCAGCAAGATGCTGCAGCCCCCCCCCCCCCCCCATGAAGGGCCTGTCACCTTGATACCTGGAATGGCATCGTCCCCACACAGCTCTGATCTCACCTCACAGGAAATAAGGAAAAAAGTTTATTTGTGGCAGACTTCTCCAGACTAACAATCCCTTGATATATTGCTGAGGCTGACTGTGGATTTGCGATCCTCCTGCCTCGGCCTCCTGAGTCCATGGGATTTCAGATGGCACCCAGCCCTCTAGACAACTTGACTGTCCCTCCTCCCTCCATGGCAGGCAGCAACTGCATTGCTACACTCTAGAGAGCAGGTCTCAGGACCCCATATCACCTTCAGTGACAGTCTGTCTCCATGGGCACATTGAGTGACAAAACTCATAAGGAGACTCATCCCCACTGAGAGGCCTTTGCAGTAAGATTGTGTCTTGGGGGTTGTGTTTCCAACTCAGCCTAAGCAGTAAATGCTTCCTCTAAGACCCTCTGTGACTCCTGATCTCTGGTCCTGCCCAGTGAGGGTTGCTTCAATGGCCAGTCTCAGTGATTTTTGTGACTGTACCCCAGGTCAAGAGGTGGGCTTGGCCTGTACCCTGAGTATGGCTCTGCCATGAGCAGACAGGCCCTGCTCCCAGGGTGCTCCAGGGCTAGGAAGGATGAAGCTCAGGCATGGTGGTAAGAGGGTGGCAGTGGTCCCCAGGTGGGAGCACAGAGACGGCCCCTCAGACCCATCAGCCACAGGGATTCTTGAGGTGTTTGTCCAAGGTGAATCTTGCAGGCTGTCTGTCAGAGCCAGGACAAGGGCTAACACTCGCTAACATTTAAACTTTTTATTTTGAAACAATGTCAAATTGCTGTTTGATGTTAAAAAAAAAAAAAAGCTTTTGCAGTTAAATATTCTATTATGGTATCAAACATTATGCCTGATTGTACATCTTGCTGGTCTCCCTCAATCAAGAACAATTTGCAGCCTTTGAGTTTCATGACCTTGACATTTTTGTAGTTTACAGGGAAGTTATTTTGTAGATAGTCCTTCATTGGTCTTGCTCCGATCCTCCCTCTGATTGGACCACTGTTGTGCGTTTAATGAATGCTGCGTTCTATCCAACGTCGACTGGAAACATGACTGGGGGTGTTAATGTGGGCCAGTTGATTAAGAAGCATAAAAAGGTGGCTCACGCCTGAAATCCCAGTGGCTTGGAAAGTTGAGGCCGGAGGATTGTGAGTTCAAAGCAAGTCTCAGCTACTCAGTGAGACCCTGTCTTTAAATAAAGTATATAAAAAAAGGGTGGGGAATGTGGCTCAGTGGTTAAGTGTCCCTGGGTTCAATCCCTAGTACCAAAAAAAAAAAAAACAAGCTGGGCATGGTGGCACATGCCTATGATCTCAGTGGCTCAGGAGGCTGAGGCAGAAGGATCACAAGTTTGAGGTCAGCCTCTGCAACTTAGTGAGGCCTGAAGCAACTTAGCAAGACGCTGTCTCAAAATAAAATATAAAAAGGGCCGGGGACGTGGCTCAGTGTTTAAGCACCCCCTGAGTTCAGTCCCTTGTACCAAAAACAGACGGAAAGAAATGAACAAGTACATATATTATAAGAACTGCTATGGAGAAAAAGTTGACGGAGAGAGAAGGAATGGGAAAGGACCATTTTACATAATTACGCAGTTACCCTAAGGACATCCCAAATATTCACATACCTAAATGTAAAACAGCCACCTTGATCATGCTCGGGATTTGGGATCTCATTATCAGTGAGTGACGGCATCAATGATGGGTTCAAAAGCGCTGTGTTTCCAAGCAAAAATGACAATGATGGGTTTGAGACAATTGTCAAGGGTCCCGGAGGAGGCGCTTGGGATGAGACATGATTCTTTCAATGTCAAGGGGAGGCAGAAATTCAAGGGAAGGGTTTGGAAAAATCTTTCACAAACCAGGAGAGTGGGAAAGCTTTGTTTCCACATAAAATTCTCCTTTGAAATATAGGACTTTAAATATTTAAATTTTCAATATTTTAACCACTCATCCTAAGTAGGGATTCAATTATTCATCTCCATCTCTAAACGTTTAAATTAAAATATGAGGCCAATTCTCTTTTAATCTCCTCATTAGGAAAAGGAAGAGAGAGATTTATATTCAGGCATAGAGCGAATTTCATCCCAAAGTGCTGTCTCAACTGCCTGCATCCCCCGAGTCCTGCTCCCCATAATGGCTTGGCCAGGGCCTCGGGTGGAGGCAGATGGTGGCTCTGGACTAATGGTGGACTGGGGCCGGGGAGAACCAAAGTGGCAGTCAGCTGCCTCTCGGACAGGGGACTGGAAGTCTGTGCTCAAAACAGCTGGGATTTGCTGGGCTGGTGGTTTATAAACGCTGTCACCTGACCCTTCACATCCTTGTCTGTGGGTGCCTCCCTGAACCTCATTGTCTTCATCTGTAAAATGGGTCTAGTAGGGTGGCCTCCCTGAGAGGGTCACAGTAATGGCTAAATAAGACCCCACACTGTGACCAGTGCTTTGTACCATAAATGAGTCAGGACCAGGAAAGGAGCCCAAGAGAATAGACCTGCAGGACCCAAGAAAGCAACAACAGCACAACCTTAACATCAACAGCAACCCCCCCCCACACACACACACACACATACATGCACGCACACGCATGCAAACACCAGCCACGAAGGGTCAGTTGCCCTTCCTGTTCTCCTCACGACTTTGCCCCAGAAATGTCTGTTCCTGAATCTTTCACAAAAGTTTCCTGCTCCAGACCTCCAGTCCCTGTACTTCCCCAGCACTGGCTTGTCATTGTCACAGCGTTTTCTCCCATCAGCCGGAGGGCTTCTGGATGAGGTGGTGACCTCATCCCAGCCCCAGCACACAGGTGCAAAGCAGGAGCCGCGGGGAGGAGGCAACACCGGCCTTGTCCAGCAGGTGGCAGCAGCCCCCAACATCAGGATCCCAACAGCCTTGGGCTCACCCAGGCCCAAGCCCGGGATGGAAACTTCAAACTGCGCCCAGGGCCTTGGAGAGCCCCCAAAGTCCCAGCCAGGGCTCCTTTATGGGAACACTGCTCATTCAAATGTGCGAATTTTTAACAATACATGTGCAAACTCTGGGAATCAGTGAAATATGACCAGGTTCCTGCCCTTCAGTTCCTGAGTCTAAGGAGGGGACAGACACTGTCCGCGCCTGACAGTTAATGCTGTCATTAGGTCTTCATGGGACATGCAGAAGGAGCCCAAACTCATCCTCCTGCTCTCACAGAGGAATGATTGGAGGAGGTGATGTCTAGGGGGAAGGGCTAGGGGTCACAGCCACATGCATGGGGGAGGAAGGACACAGGCTTGGGACACTGACATTGCAGAAACCAAGAGGATGCATGCCATGGGTTGTAGGGACTGCAGTGGGTGGGCACTGCACGCAACTGCTCATGGTGGTAAGGCTGGGCCAGGCCACAGAGGACATGGCAAGTCACGTTGACATACCAGGACCTCCTATTGCCCAGGCAATAAGGAAAGCTCACTGCCCAGAACAAATGGGCGTGGACAGCCAGGAGTGGTGGTGCATACTGGGAACCCCGTGACTCAGGGGTCCGAGGCAGATGATGATGAAGAGCATGGGCAACTGAGAGAGACCGTGCCTCAAAATAAAAAATTGTTGGAAGGCGGAGGGTGAAGCTCACTTCCACCCCAGTTCCACACACACAAGTGGGAGGCAGAAACAGAAGCCGGTATTGGGGCTTACAGCTGCCCCCTTCACTGCAGTGGAAACAGGACATCAAAGAACAGACAGCGGGGGGGGGGGGGGGGGGGGGCGTGGCATGGGGACTAGTCCCCAGGGGGAATGAGCCCCCCTCTCACAATCCCTGCCTTGGTTACCCCCTGGAGTACCCTTCCCCATCCCCCACCCAGCCACTTCCAGTCCAAATACCCCCACCCCCGCTCCACGGAGTGCCCCAGATTCCAGGAGGTCAGCTGCCCTGGGGGACCCATGGCATCTTCCACACAGGGTCTAACTCAGCCCAGGCCCTTTTTCTGGCTCTTCTGTCTCCATCCATCCAATGTCAGGAAACATTCCAGGTGGAGCATTCTTACACACACACACACACACACATACACGCACAAACACGCACACGTGAACACACGCACACACGCACTCCCTGGACAGTGGCCTATAACTTCCACTTCCACCTGAGCAAGACAATTCCTGACTCCGAGCCTCCAGCCCCTGCTGGGACCCCACATGGGCCATCTGGGCGACCCCCCTGCACGTGGAAGCAGACCCCTCGAACACCAGATGTCCCAGTCTGAAGTCACCTCCTTCCCATTCATTCCAGAGGCTAATCCTGTTGGCGCCACCTTTCCCAGGTACCCGTAATATGACCGTTTCTCACCACTACCACCTCCATGGCCCTGGGCCAGCACTGTCACCTCGAGCCTAGCGGGTGCCCCTGCTTCTGCCTCAACCCCCATCTGTCCCTTTTCAACCCAGACCCAGGCTGTTAAAGTCAAGAAAGGGTTACATCCCTCCACTCCTTCTGGGCTTGTCCTTGCCCCCTGTAGTCCAGCGAGGACCAGGCCTCCTGGCTTCCTGGTCCTTACCCAGGTGTGCCAGGCAAGCTCAGTCCTCATGTGAGCTGTTCCCTCCACCCAAAGTGCTCCTCCCTACATGGCTCACTCCTACCTCCTTCTCAATTTCCGCACACGCCACCTCCTCAGCAAGGGCCTACCTGACCATCGAATTTAAAATCCCCCCCCAGCCCCAGCAGTCTCTACTCCTTATTTCCTACTTTATCTTCCCTATAGCACATTATCGTCACCGTGATGTTATAGACCAAGGACTCCACGAGGGCAAGGACTATTTGTCTGGCTTGTTTTCTGCTCTATCCCCAGAATCTAGAGTAGCCAGCACAGAGTAGATGCTCAATAAATACCTTTCAAACAAAGGAATGGGAATCTAACCCACAAGGCTCCGCCTTCTCTACACAGTAAAGTTTAGCATTCAAGGCCTGCCTCCCTGGCCTTGTGTGCCACCTATGCCCACTCAGGCTCACTTAGTACCACAGCAGACCCTTGACGTGCTTCAAGCATGCCCACTTCCCTCTGCCCCTGCTCTTTTCTTTCTTTTTTGGTAGCAGGGGCTTAACCCTGGGGTGCATGCCACTGAGCCACATCTCCAGCCTTTTTATTTTTTAATTTTGAGACAAGGTTTCACTAAGTTGCTTCAGTTCTCACTAAATTGCTGAGACTGGCCTCAAATTTGCAATCCTCCTGCCTCAGCCTGCCCCATTTCTGGGATTACAGGTGTGCACCACCACGCCCAACTTCCTGTGTCTTTCTTTTGTCCAGGATGCTGTGACCTCATCCCACTCAATGACAGTTGTCTAGGTCACAATCCTCGCTGGCAGTCACCCTTTGGGAAGGCACTCTGGCTCCCTCTCATATTAGAACCAGATCTGGGTGCCCTACTTCACCAGGACCACCCTCAGTACAGAGCAGGGGCCCCGGCACATGGCTTCCCACGTGGTGTTTGATGAATGAATGAATAAAGTATAAGGTTTATATCAGAAAACCAGAGTTTACGGTGAAGGGCTCCCACCCCTTTCTTTATTCTTCTTTGATGCAACCATTTCATGTGTCTCAATGACTGATGCTGGGTGACCCCAGGGCTCTCTGAGGCCAGGAGCTGTCTCCACTTCCCAGACAGCCAGACTGGTCTCTAGGAAAGCTCAGTGGACCAGGAGCCAGGCAGCCTTCCCTGCCACTTGTTCCTTATAACCCTGGGCAAGGTCTTCTAGCAGGTGGGTCCTCGTTTCTCATCAGTCACATGGGGTGCCCCGGACACCGCCTCTGCAGGGCATTCAAGGTTGAAACCTGGACAACTAGAAGCAGTGAGACTGTCTTCAGTGCCAGGTTACATCCCTGGGCCAGATTTTCCAAGGAAGAAGGGAAGGCTGGAGTGTGTCCCCAGCCTGTCTCTCAGCCAGCTAACCTGTGCCGGAAGTCTGGGAGAGGTGCCAGGCCCAGACACACTGGGCGGCAGGAGCTGGACAGGCTCCAGAGTAATGCCTTGGCAGCCCTGGGAAAGGCAAAGGGGAGTGCTTGGCTTGAGGTTAAGAGGGTCTGAGCCACTACACAGAAGACAGCTGGGACTCGAGGGGATGCTGGTGTGAGTGTATGTATGTGTGCGTGCACGTGTACTCCTGCAACAGATGCTGGCAGGGACCTAAAGGTTACATCTGTTCCCGACTAGCCCCCCACTTCCAGTCCTCCGCAGGTACTACTAAGATCTTCCCATTGATCCAGCAGGAACCTGGGCCCCAGTCTAAGCTGCTCCAGCTTCCAGATAGGAAGTAGGACCTCAGGCCTGGGGCTCAGGGTTGGGGAAGTGGGAAAAGGGGAAGGAGGGACCTGTAGCTTAAATCTCCCTTTCCCAAAGATCAAGGGCTTCCTACATTCTGCTAGGCGTGGAAACTAAAGAAAAAAGGGCGGTCACCCAGCATGGGACAGATTAAACTGAGAAGTTTTGGGGAAAGAGGGGCCCAGAGCCTGTGTCTGGAGGAGATGATGGGAGAAGTGGAAGAGCAGGGGCTCAGAGGCTGGAACTCTCCGTGGGAGGGGGCGGACTTTGAGTAAAGGAAGTAAGGGGCGCAGGGGGTCCCTAGTCAATAAAGTCAAGGAGGGAGTTCCAATCTCTAGCCAAACCGGGGCGAAGTGACAAGCTCTGGAGTGAGGATCCAGGGTCCAGACCGAGGACGCCCAGTGGCCGACTGGAAAGAGGGCTGGGGCAGGGGAGGAACAAGGGCTCTGGGACTCCATCCTCTGAAGCGATCCTGCCTGGGGAGGGTAGGACACCTCAGGCTGCGGGCTGGGGGCGGGCTGGGGGCGGGGCCAGGCAGGGCGCGGATGGCGCTGGGCGGGGCCGGCTGGGCTGGGCCGGGGTCCCGGGGGCCGGGGCGGGGCCAGGCAGGCGCTGCGCAGCCGCGGGGCAGCCGCCGCGCATGCGGGGCTCACTCGGCTGCAGCCGGCGCCGCTGCCACTCCCGGGAGCATGAAGGACCGAACCCAGGAGCTCCGCACGGTGAGTCCGGCCCCGCGCGCGGCCGCTGTCCGCCGGCGCCAGCGCGCCGCGCTCTCCCGCCCGCCTCGCACGATCCTGGGGAACAGCCCGGGCGCCCCCCGGGAGGGAGCCTGCGGGCGGGGACCCCGACCCCTCCGGGTCCCGCCCCTCGGACCCACTTGGGGTCATGGGCTCGCGCCAGCTCGGCCGCGTTGGCCGGTGGACGGGAGGCCGGGGCCTGGGGTCCTGGACAAACTTTCCGGCGCCCCTGGTTTGGGGGGCCCAGGGGTTGTCGTGGGGTTTCGGTGGCGGGACGGAAGCCTGACCTCTCCTCGTCAGCGGAGCAGGTCTTGCCTCTGTAGCTCCACTGCCCCTCGCGCCGAGCCTTCGTCCCCCTCGGTGTAGAAACACGGCAGGACCGCAGTGGGAACCGGCCCGGGGCAGCCCCCCGCACGGAGCCCCGCCGCGGAGCCCGGCCCCGGGTGCGGGTGGCCTCGTCGGCGGGAGCCACAGGTGCTGGGCTGTGGCTCCCTCCCAGCACCTGTGGCTCCCCGTCCGCCAGGTCGTGGTCGGATGCTCTGCCCACCCTGGGTTGGGGAGGGGGTCACACCTGTTCCCCGCCCACCTTCAGGCTTCCCGGGAGCTCAGCCTGGCATTTCCAGCCCCTTCCCGGATCCCCTGGTCTGCCTGCGACCTCCGTCTGTTTTTCCACCTGTGTCTGGAGGCCCCTGGGGTGTGGTTCCAGGGGCGGGGTTTCGGGGGGCAGTGGGAGGATGCACAGAGGTTCCGACTCCGAGCCCACCGACCCCCAGCCCAGACGGGGATCTCCTGCCACCTGCTCCTCGTCAACGGGGCTCCCCTTCCCCTGGCCTCTGCAATTAGGGATGGCAGGGAGGGCTGTGGAGGGCAGTGGAGGAAATGAAGCCTGCCTGTGGGAGGGGCCAGTCAGGCTCAGTACCAGGTTGCCTCATCTGATCCCCTGACTGATCCCACCCATTGATCTGTGGGTGCCACCCCACTTCAGTGGCTCCCCAGAATCCTCCATCTGTGCCCCAATTAGAGCCCCCGAGCCCTAGGTCCCCTTATATGCAAAGTTTCAAGTGTCCTTGAGCTTTTGACCCCTTGGCTTGTGCTCTGCCCAGAGGCTAACTGCCTCTGTGCCCGGGGTGCCCCTGTTGTGCCCCCGTTGTACCAGTCTTATCTCCTGGGCAGACAGAGCCCGGGTGTTCTCCCGCCTCCACGTCCCTGGCTGCAGCATGCCATACCACCTGCCTTATTCCTGGCTGAGTGCCCCGCCAGCCCCTCTGTGAACCCCAGGAGGTCTCAGAGGAAGAAGATGCCCCTCCTGTCGTCTGAGGTCTCTAAATGCTTCCCCGCAGCCCTTGCGGTTGCTCTCAAGTTTCCTAGCAGTGTTGAGTCGGAAGCGTGTCAGCCCAGGATGAACAGCTGTGAGCTGTATTTGTCCATGTCAGGGTGCCTGGTTGGTCCCTCAAGGGACTGCGTGGGAGCTGAGTGGTCAGGGGCACAGAGTCCCATACACGTGATGGCGGCCCCTGGTTCATCGGCCATCATCCCCTCTGCTGAAGAGGAGACTGAGGCACTGGAAAACTGGTAGATGGAGGGAGGGGTGTTAGAAAGGGGCCTTGCTGGTTCCTGTCTGGGACTGGGGAGCCCCAAGAGAGCTTGGATTGAACTTGAATCCAGATCTTTGCCCTGCTCCCAGATGAGCCTGAGTGGTCCCTCAGACAGTGGGACTTGACTTGGCTTTGAATTGTCTGAGGCGCTCTCTCCAGGCACCCCAGCCCCACCCTAGGCACTCAGAGCCCATGAAGGCTGACCTCATTGTCACCAGCCCTGCTGTGGAGGGTTTCTAGCAGCTCCAGGGAGGCTGGCAGGAGCCCTCTCTGGCTGGGGTGACTAGTCAGTCCTTCCTAGAAGTCCCTTTCTCTCTCCAGGCCTGGGGCGTCCACCTGTGAAATGGAAATAGGAAAACCTAGATCCCAGCTTCTCAGGGCGAGAGGTGTGGTCCCCAGTCCCCTGACTTCAGCTGCATATTTGGGGGAATCTTTGAACCCCAGGACCTCTAGGAATGAAGAGGCCAGTGGTGGCCAGGCTGGACAGAGGCAGCGCCTAGGACAGCAGCTGTCATGGCCCTAGCCTCCAGCCTCCCTCCTCCTCCTCCTCCTCCCTCCTCTCCCCCACCCAACGCCACCACATTTGGAAGGAAGGCGACGGGAGCTTATTTATAAAAGTCACACTTGGAGAAGGAGCTGGCGAGCTTCCTCAGCTCCGCAGGCCAGGCCCGGCCCTCCAGCCTTCCCCAGCCCCCACCGTCCTGGGCAGATCCTCCCTGTTCTGTAGGCCATAGTGAGGGGACCATGGGGACCAGGGTGGGGGCCTCAACTCTGCAGCAGGCCCTCGGAGGAGACTAGAAGGTTAGCCCCTGGGGTGCAGGTGACCTCAGAGGGGAGATGGGTGACAGAGCCGGGCAGACTTTGGGGGTAGGGTTCCCCAGACAACCACACCCTGGCATGTAGCTGCCCCCACCCCCCGACTCAGAGGCCTTCCTGACTTTCCCCCAGGGGACTCCCCAGAGCGCCCACACACCTTCCTGCATACACTGGGCCACGCGGGTCATGTGGGAGCTGCCATAGGAGGCAAAGAGTGACCACAGAGGGCGGGTTGGGCCACCTCGACCCTGGGAGGGCCCAGAAAGGGAAGCTGGACTTAGGAGGAGAGGGGTGATCCAAAAGGAGGGGCCAGCTGAGGAAAGCCAAGGTTCGGATTGTCCAAGCAAGAGACACGGGCTGGTGGCCCTGCACAGGGCCTCCCAGGGCCCCCTGAGGTCTGTAGCAGGCTGGGCTCCCTGGGGCAGCCAGGAACCCCAGCCCCCAGCTGGCCTCTGCCGCCTCAGCTGCTTCGATTCCCCATCTGTACAATGGAGCCAGTACTCCTTGCCCACAGAGGAGGCAGGAACAGGAGCCAGGCAGAGTCTTCCTCCTGCCCTCCCATCAGCTCCTTTGAGGACCTCAGAATAAACAGGGACTTTGGGCACATCCCCCCACCCAGGGTGCAGACGGAGGGGGCCCTGCAGGTCTGTCCAGTCTAGCCTCCTGTTTTAAGCACCACAAAAGTGAGGTTCAGAAAGGGCCCGGGGTTTATCCAAGGTCACAAAGCAGAGCCCAGCCCCTTTCCAGGGCCGGAAGTGCCTCCCTGAACTCTCTATAGGGCCCTGTGAAGGGGCATCTGCCGCCTGGGGACCTGGCATGGGAGGCACAGGGAGCACCCAGACCACAGACCCAGCGGTGGGGAGGAGAGAGGCCGGACCACAGAGGGAGCCTGCTTTCCTGGAGACCCAGAGTGGCCTCTCGCACATCCTGATTGGTCTCTGGGCCTTGCTGCACTAGTGGTATTGACTTTGATTAGTCATTAAAAAGAGGAAGGGAAAAAAATAGCCCCGGAGGCAGACAGCAGCGGGCGCTGGGCTGAGCAGTGACGAATCAACCTGCTGGTTGGCCAGGCGCCATCGCCGGGATGGCTGGAGGCCGTGGCCAAGGAATCAGACACAGGTCAGGAAGCTGTCCTGGAATCCTGCAGCCTCTGCCAGGAAGACCACTGGGGCTGCCCGCAGCAGCCAGGGCAAGCCTGGGGCCTTCTGCCCACCGTGGCTCCCGAGGGGGGTCTTCTGATGGCCTCTGTGTTGGGGGCAGCCCTGGTTTCCAGCTTAGGCTGGGGAGATGAGGCTGGAGCTGGACTGCTTGGCCAGAGGAGGAGAGCCAGCAGCATTGCCCTGGGGCGCGGGGTCACCAGCCCCACCCCACAGCCCCCATTCAGCCCTCTGGGTGGAACCTGGAGAGCAGGGGATTCTGTTGCTGGACCACAGAAAAGGAGGGGTGGCAGGGAAAGAAAGAAAGAAAACCCAGCCAGACAAATGGGAGGTTGGTGGCTGTGAGGAGGGAGAACGGGGTGCCCCCAGATTTCTGGCTTGGGGGCCTGGGGCAGAGTGGGTTCTGAGCTGGGGGCTTAAGGAGGGGGCTCTGGAGAAAGGTGGAGTCGAGTGCTGGCCAGGTGGCTGGCAAGATGCCCATGTGGTACTTGGGCACATCCAGCCCACTTGGGCCCTTGAGCCTGCAGCTGCCCTACAACTCCAGCTGTCACCTCCACATCAGGGCTTCGCAGGGCCTCAGATCCAGTCCAGCCCCCTTTCCAGACTTTCTGCTGCCGCTCGGGGGGCTGCAGATTCCCAAGGGAGCTGGAGACCCAATCCCCCAAACAATGCCTGGCTGCCCTCTTCACGAGCCTGTACGGCGCCCACCCTGGCCAAGGCACCAGGACGAGCAGGCTCACCACATCACCCCATTCTGTCTTGGTCAAGCATGTGGGAGGGTTGGGAGGTGAGAGAGGCAGGTAGGGCTCTGATGTCCAGCACCCCAGGGGCTTGCATTTAATTCACCGCCCAGTGAGCTGAGCGAGGGTCTGAGTTATCTGAGGGTGTCTCTAGGAAGGTGCCATAAGCTCTGGCCTGGATGTAGTTGAGGTTGCAAAGAGCATCGGTCAAGAGCCACCAGCGTCTCACAAACCTCGCTCCTCTGGTCTCCTACACACGATTCCCAGCCCTACAAGAACCAGAGCTGCAGACTCTCAGGCCCCAAAGGACCTGAGAAGTCCCATGGCCTCAACTTCTAGCCTCAGCTAGCATGCCTCCTGTGACAGAGAGCATAAACAAAGACACAAAGCAGGAAAGAAGTCCTTCACTTGAGCCCCAAATCCAACCCACACACTGGTGGGAAAAGGCTTAGGTTTTTCCTTGTTGGGAAGCACTACACGATCACCTGTATCATTTCTGGCTACATTAATAAAAGTAGACCATCTAGAAAGAGGAAGGAGGCAGGACACAGTGGCACATGCCTGTGATCCCAGCTGCTTGGGAGGCTAAGGCAGGAGAATCACAAGTTCAAGTCCAGCCTGGTCCACTTAGTGAGAACTGGTCTATAAATAAAATGTCCTTGGAATTCTACCTTGGGCCAAACCACAGGAAAGGGAAGGAATATCTAACAGTGGAGTCTGCCTAAGATGTGCAGAGATGCCCCGGAAAGCTAGTGAGCTCTCTGTCACAGGAGGCATGCTAGCTGAGGCTAGAAGTTGAGGCCACGGGACTTCTCAGGTCCTTTGGGGCCTGAGAGTCTGCAGCTCTGGTTCATATAGGGCTGTGGATCATGTGTGGGAGACCAGAGGAGCAAGGTCCTGATTGGGAGGGACACCTCCCATTCCGAGTCAGAGAAATGCGCGGACCCAGGGTGGCAGAGGAGTGGGAGGTCCTGAGGGGAAGGTGCCCGCTATGTCCTTGAAGCATCCCCTCAAGGGGCCACAGCTGGTTTGACTGCAGCTGTGAGGTCGGGCCCTAAATCCTGATCGGCTTGGAGGCCACCCTGAATGTCATCTCTAAGGTGGACCTGGGCCCCTTCCAGCTCTGCCCTCTCAGTCAGGGCCTGGAGGAGGCCGTGCACCTCCGCCACCAGCTCTGACTCAGGAACTTCCTCCTCCAGCCTTCGGCCTTACAGGGAGGCCTGGAGGGCAGGTTGGCGCTCACTGGTTGCTGGAGAGGATGGGGCCTGTTTGACCGATGGGCAGGTCGAGGTCCAGAGAGGCGCCAGCCCAGATCCCAGGGGCTCGGCAGGGCTGGCACTGCCTGTCACCTCTGGACATTCTTCTTGCTGGAAAAGGAGCTGGAACCCTCTCCTTCCACCCTTTCCCATCCTCATCCTTCTCGGCACCAGAGGAGCAGAGGGGGCAGGATTCTCCAGTGGCAGGAACCCTTAGGACCACTTCCCAACCTGCCTGGCCACCCAGGACAGAGTGGGGTTCCTGGGGCTGCCCTGGGCCTCAGTTTCCCTAGAAAATGCTCTTTGACGATTCCTGGGTCTGGCTTGGTCCACAAGTATGAAAATGGTGCCCGATTCTCTGTGTCTTTGGGTGGGCCTGGGGGAGGGGCAGCCACCTGGCAGCAGCCGCACACATTGTGGGGAGAGGGAGCAGGGGTTTATTTTAGCAGCTGGGGGAGGAGGTGTGATCTTTGATGGGAGGAGGCCCTGGAGCTGCCTCCAGATAGCTCCCAGCCTCCTGTCCTCTCTTGGTGGGTCCCTACGTGGCAGGGTCTTGGTGGGGCCCCTGAACATCTCCGCCGTCCACCCTCCTCAGTCCTCTCCTTGCAGCCAGCCATCAGTGTCCCCATTTCACAGAGGTGCAAACAGACAGAAGGATGACCCTCAGTGGGCAGTGTCTGTCCTGGGCCCAGCCCAATGGTTCCATCAGATTTCCTCATCCCTTGACCCCCACCTGACGAGAGAGCCAGGCAGTGCCTGCCCCCCGCCCCCTTAGGGGCCCTGAGCCCCAGTCTGAGAGGCAGTGCCCCCTGCCCTGGGCAGCCACCCTGCCTCTCCCTGCTTCGGCTCTGGAATGGGACCTTGGGCAGCAGAATGGGCTGGCCCCGGCTGACTCCAGGTGTCGGGTGGACAGTCATGACTGTGGCCAGCACAGCAGAGACGGGATTCCCCCTCTCATGACCGGTGGCTATCGCGCAGGTGCTCTTGGGGCAGCGGGGTGGGGCCACACCTGTGACCATGGCCTAGAAGTGACCTGCCCCTCCTGCCTGCTGGCCCCGCTCTGTGTTGGAAGGAAGGAGCATCTGGGTCCAACGTGGAGGCTGACAAGGAGTGAGAGCCCTAAGAAACCTGAGCTGGCCAGGCTGACACCCAACAGAGCGCCTCACAGACGGCATCACGCGGGCCTGGCTGGGTGCTGTGGAGGTGGCATCCACCTTGCGAGGCAGGGTTCAGTGACGCCCAGGCCCAGAGGGCGGCAGGCTCCCCAGCAGGGGCCAACCAGGAAGGGACCTTGGAAACGCTGGGCTTAACTAAGACCACAGGGCTGGAGAGAGGAGGACCTGCTGGCAGGCAGTCTGTCCCAGCCAGCCTGGGGACCTAGAGGGGCCAGCCAGAGGCCCAGCCAACTTGTGGGCTCGCTTCAATTTTGGGGCCACTGAGTCGGGGGACTGCACCTTGAGGTTGGGCTGCCCGCCCCATGGCAGGGCCTCTGAGCCACTGGGAGGGAGTCCCTAGTCTGGAGGTGGAGACCTGGTCCCTTTACCAACTTGACAGCCAAGGCCACTCTCTTAGGCTGCATGCTCAGGGATACTCTAGGTCTCACTATGGCTGAGAGACGAGAGCACAGGCAGGACTGTCCCTGTCCCTGCCCAGAGGCCCCCCTGAGGGAGGTGGGTGGTTGGCACTGCTACATCCTCACAGATGCCCTGCAGCTTGGGGTCCCAGGTCCAGTGGGACTTGGGGATCTTACATGGGTCCACTCATTTATGCACAACCCTGTGCAGGCCAAGGACAGCGACGATGATGATGATGTCACAGTCACCGTGGACCGAGACCGCTTCATGGATGAGTTCTTCGAGCAGGTGGGAGCCAGCCCACCCTGCGTCTCCCTGTGCCCTGCCAAGACTTGGGTGGCCACTCTCCCCCCTGAGCGGGCCCAGCAGCCCGAATACACCTGTGAATGACCTCACTGGAGGGCAGAGGTGTTGAAGTTCAGAGTGGAGCTGAGCTCACGCCTACCCCCCCACCTTCCCGCCCAGCCCGGCTTTGAGCAGGCCCTGGGCCCATGCCATCCCTCCTGGGCTTTTTTCTGAGCCCCCTGGCCTTGATCTCCAGGTGGAGGAGATCAGGGGCTTCATCGACAAGATTGCAGAGAATGTGGAGGAGGTGAAGCGGAAGCACAGTGCCATCCTGGCCTCACCCAACCCTGACGAGAGTGAGTGGGGGCCTGGGGACGGGCCAGGACTGGCAGGGGTACAGAACCTGGCATCCCGCACTGCAGGCGGCTGATGAAGCAGCGGTTGTGTCCTGGGGTCCAGGGGCCAGTGCCCACGGCCACCAGTTGGATCTGGGACTCCTAGGAAGTCTTGGGTGGTGGGAGGGGCACCCTCCCGTGGCCTGGGAGGGTCACGTGATCAGCACCACCCTCCCTGAGTACCCTGGTTTTTTCCTAAGGCCACAGGTCTGGCCACTGCCCTGCCTAGGATTCTGAGAGGGAGGGAGCAGTCTCTGATCAATAGGAGGCCGTCCTGCTGGCCCCGCCCCTGGCCGCCTCCCTGGGGAGCAGATGGCTGCTGTGGGAGGGCATGCCGGCCAGGCAGGCAGAGCTTCCGGCAAGAGCTGGCAGCCCTGGCACCTGGCCACTTGGTACCCAGGAGCTGGGCATTCTCACGGGTCCAGGAAGTCACCTCTCCCTCTGCACAAGGAGCCTGTGTACTCCGGGATTCCACCCTGTCCCCTGATGGTTCCCCTGCCCTGGCCCTCTCATTCCTGTTGAGATACTGATTAATACACCAGTGTGCGCCAGGCTGCCATGAGCAGCCCCGCCCAGGATCGCCTCCCTGGAGGGGCATTCACCCCCCCCCAAGCTGGCAGAGATTGGCCCCCTGTGGCTGGACCCAGACCCTAATGCCTCCAGGCACTCTGCTCCTTGCAGCCCTCTTACCTCCTGCCCCTCCGGCTTCTCTGGAAGGTGCCAGCTCATGAGGCCTATGAGGAAGCACAGGAGAGGGACCTCTGGGGCAGGGGACATGCCAGTGCAACTATCATGCTTTACCCCCTCCCCAGGGATGTATCCAGGACAGATAGGTCATGATGTGTCTCTCTGCCCATCTGTACCTGAGTCACTGCATGACCCTGTGTGATTGCTCCTGCCGAGGGTCAGGTGGTGACTGTGAGTGAGAACAGAGCACCCTCAGCTGCCCCAGGGGGTGGCAGGGCAGTGGAGCCTCTCAGCAGCCACCCTCAGGCCCCCGTGCCACTGTCTGTACTTCTCCCACTGTGTGCCAGGATGGGGACCGTGCCTGTGAACTGAGCAGTCGAGACCTGGCTGAGACCCAGGCACGCAGCAAGGGGAGGGGGCTCTTCATGGGGCGCCAGGGCTGAGCGGAGTTGGGCAGGTTGGCAGGGGGTGGGGGGGCTTTCCTGGTCCAAGGCTGGCATTGCTGCCTCTGGGGGCTGCCATCCGGCTGGGCTATTTTGGGTCTGAGCAAAAGAGGCTGAGACGTCAGAGCAGCTGGTAACCAAGTTTCCCTCTGTTTGCACGGAGGAGGCGCCACCCCTGCTCTACGGAGACCCTGCTCCACCCCACTCAAGTTCCCCTTGGGAGATGACCCCTGCCTAGGCCCTTCCTGACACCACGTTGAGACCGGTCTCCAGTCCCACCTTCTGGGGAGTCCTAGGGGTTGCCTAGGGCTTGGGCATGCCAGGAGCACCCCAGCGGAGGTGGCCAACCCCTCAGGGAGGGCCGAGCTGTGCACCCCCAGGGCCTCTGCCAGCCTAGGAGGGTGGTCCTGGTTGGAACAAGAGCCAGAGCACCATGTTACTGCCCTCCTCCTCCTTCACCTCATGGCCCCAGCCACCTGTCACCTCCAGGCCAGCTGTGTCCAGGGAACCTGCCTCTGGACCTCTTCCTCAGCTCCCCCCACAGTCCAGGTGCCTCCTCCCCCAGCTGCTGCATGGTGCTTGGCACCTGGGGGTGGGGTGGCTTTGTGAGGAGACCCCGATCTGTCCTATCAGGCACCTGTGGCTGAGACTCCAGGGGATGCAGGTTGGGGGAGGCTCCTCCCAGCCTGGCCTGTGTCAGCCCCACTGGCTGGCCACGTGCCCTTTTGAGCCACCAGGTACGGCGAGGTGAGCCTGCACCCCCACCTCCGACTCATGCAGGCGTCGAGTAAATGCTCCCCGGTGCCAACTCCAGCCTTGCCAGCTGCTCCACAATTATTTCTGCCTTAAATTTAGACCCATCTGTTATCTCCAGGGGGTGAGGGAGCCAGTGAAGGAGGAAGGAGGTGCCTCCGAAGGCAGTGCAAGGGGTGTGGGCTGCAGCTGCCAGGCCTGGCCTGAGATTGGGGGGTGCAGGCAGAGCCTTGGCCCAGGGGAGGGGAGGCCCCCTCCAGGCCCACAGTGAGGGAGATAGACCCCAAATATAGGCAGGGATGACCCAGGTATCCACACCCCACCCCTCGTGCCTCCCCAGAGACCAAGGAGGAGCTGGAGGAGCTCATGTCCGACATCAAGAAGACGGCAAACAAAGTTCGTTCCAAGTTGAAGAGTGAGTCCACTGATCACCCCCCTCCAGGAGGGGGGCACTGGGTCTTGGCTCCCTATTCACTCACAGCACCTGGCGCATCCCACTCTGGACATGGCCCTGGCCTTCCTGGCAGAAATCGAGCAGCAGGGGCAGAGGGTGGTCGGAGCCACCAGACCCAGCACCCAGTAGATGCAGATATTGGGGTGTGCCCAAGGCCTCACAGGTGGCCCCCTTCTACTTCCCGTATCACCATTCAGGTCACTCATAGACCACTCCACCCCTACCTCTGCTGGCTATGGGACGCCAGATCCTGGGCGGGCTGGGGACGGTGGTGAGTGGGACAGGTTGTGGCCCAGCAGCCCTGTGTCCCCCACCCCCAGGCATCGAGCAGAGCATCGAGCAGGAGGAGGGCCTGAACCGCTCCTCCGCAGACCTGAGGATCCGGAAGACACAGGTGTGCCTGGACTCCAGGGCGGGCGGGCACCTGAGGCCCCAGGTCGAGGTGGGCCTGACACCTGTTCTCCTGTCTCGGATTCCCAGCACTCCACGCTGTCCCGAAAGTTTGTGGAGGTCATGTCCGAGTACAACGCCACGCAGTCTGACTACCGTGAGCGCTGCAAGGGACGCATCCAGAGGCAGCTGGAGATCAGTGAGTGGTGGGGCCAGGCCTGGAGGGATGGGGCAGGGCCTGGAGGGACGGGGTGGGGCCCGGGCTGCCAGTGAGCACCCTGGAGAGGGCCTGGCTCAGAGTGACCCCACCTGCAGCCGGCAGGACCACGACCAGTGAGGAATTGGAGGACATGCTGGAGAGTGGGAACCCCGCGATCTTTGCCTCTGGGGTGAGTGTGACCCCACCTCTCCTACCAACACTAGCCCCGTCCTCATCCCAGCTGTGTGCTCAAAGCACTGGGCCTGGTCTGTTTGGACACAGACACCCTAGGGCAGGTGTTAGAAGAGGGAAGGGGCCAGGCTGAGGTCACATAAATGTAGGGAGAGTGGCTGCGAGACCCATGCCCTTGGTGCCTCAATTGGACCCATTTCCTTGCTGTCCCTGATCGTTGCCTGGGCTTCTCCCATCATCCTCAGGACCGGCTTCCTCTCATGGAGGACATTTGGCCATCTCTACTTTCCAGTGAAGCTCTGTGCCCTGCCAAGCAGGAGGAACCTCCCAAAGGAGGTGGCACTGGGTGTGAGTTCCAGAAGGGAGGGGCGTGGAGGAAAGGCAGCTTAAGGACTGTCACTCACCATGTGGCAGGCACAGGTGGGGAGTGTTATCAGCCCTATTACAGGTGGGAAATTGAGTCACAGAGAAATTAGGTGACAGCTCATATAATGGAGGACCAGTAGGAGGCGGGAGGGTTGTGGCTGGAGAGGAAGCCCAGCTTCCAGACCAGTTCTGCCATCCCAACTGCCTTCCTCTGTGGCCTCTGCCCTCCTCATCCTGGGCCCCAGGCCTCAGCTCACTGCTCCACTCCCTAGATCATCATGGACTCCAGCATCTCGAAGCAGGCTCTGAGCGAGATTGAGACCCGGCACAGCGAGATCATCAAGCTGGAGAACAGCATCCGTGAGCTACATGACATGTTCATGGACATGGCCATGCTCGTTGAGAGCCAGGTGAGTGCCCAGTCCTCGCTGCCGCCTCCCAGTCCCCAGCAGCACGCAGGGCTGCACTGACCTTCCCCTTTCTGTCCAACACGCTGCCCTGCTCGGGAGGGAACAAGTCCTCAGGTAACAAGCCACCAGCTGTGGGCAGTGCCTCTAGGGCCCTGTGCTCCCCTTCCTCTGCATGGCCTTGCATGACCCCCAGCCCTGCCTGTCTGTTCCTTGGCTGTTTATCAGGGGCCACCATGGACTGGATAGATGCTTTTCTAGGAGCTGGAGGGATAGCAGCGAAGGACCTGCTTCCTGGAGCCAGTGGCTCTTGAGTGAAAGAGCAGCATCAGTAAAGAGCAGGTGGAGTGTTCTGGCACCAGGTGCTCAGGAGCCACTAGGGGGAGGCAGAGTGCAACACTGATGCTCAGACTTGGAAGTGCCTGGGGTCACCCTGAAGGCTTGTTGCAGGTCTCCTGGTCCCCGTGCCCAGAGACTGGGCGGCTGAGGCAGAGGCCTGGACATGCGTTCTCACAAGCCCAACAGCAATGCAATGCAGTGCTTCTGGTCTGAGGGCCACACGTGGGGGCACTATGCTGGGTGACCTGATGGCCTCTAAGCATGGAGTGAGTCAGGGAAGGCCAGAAGAGGGGCATTTGCACTGATGCCAAGAGATGAAAGGAGCCAGCCATGAAGACTTCCCAGGGGAGGAGAGATGAGCTGGCCCAGGCCAGGGGATCAGCACTCCCCAGGTCCCCAGCCAGGCAGGAGCTGGACTTACTTGAGGAACGGGGCAGGGAGACCCTGCTCGATGGAGACGCCTCAGTAGGCTGTGCTGGGACCTGGAGGTGCCTCTCGATGGGGGGTGTTTAGTATGGGAGTGACAAGAACTCAGAAGTGGGGAGGCTGCATCCTGGAAAGACAGACCATGGTGACGTGGTCACGAGTGAAGGCCATGGAGTTGGAGGGGGAGTCACAGCTTTTCCTTTTCCCCTGGGTTTTCTGGTGGTGGTTACAGTCGTAGGTAATGGCGAGATTCCTTGTTACACATTCCTACAAGCTGCTGTTACCCCTGGTGTCCCCCTCCCCTCCCTCCTTGCCGGCTCCTCGCCCTTGGAGCTTCATGAGGTCCCCCCTTCCTTTTTCTTTTTCTTCTCCAGCTTCCACATGAGACAAAACATTCAACCTTTGACCTTCTGAGTTTGGCCATCTTCACTTATTGTTCTTAAGTTCCATCCGTTTTCCTGCAAATGACATAATTTCATTTTTCTTTATGGCTCAGTAAAATGCCATTGTGTATAAATGCCACATTTTCTTTATCCATCATCCATTGATGGACACCTAGGCTGGTTCCACAGTTTGGCTATTACGAATTGTGCTGCTGTAAACACGGTCTGCATGTGTCACGGTAGTAGGATGACTTTAATTCTTCAGGATACAGTACTGAGGAGTGCTGTGCAGAGGCTTTTTGATTTGATGCCATCCCATTTATTAATTCTTGGCATTATTTCCTGAGCTCTAGGGGTCCTATTGAGAGAGTCGTAGCTGAGCCTGTATGCTGGAGTGCTGACCCTACATTTTCTTCTTGGAGTTGCATAGTTTCTGGCCTGATTCCTAGGAGGACAAACACCTTTGCCTGGAGTCTTGTGTCAAAGTCAGATTGGCCCCTGGAAGGAGCATGAGGCCAGATTCCAGGGCCCAGGGCTAGGAAAGGGGTCTTAAACAAGAACTGGATGGAACCATTGTACCCAAGGAGGATGGAGTGTGGACTCATCAGTAGTCACCTCATGAGCTGTGGCCAGGGCAGGGTCAGACTCCAGCCCACACACTCCTGCACCCATCTTCCTCTGCTGGGCATCAGGGTGGGAGGTGTCAGGGTCCTAGCTAGCATTCTCTGCATGGCTAGTCCCCATCCCTTGGCTGAGACTGCATGGCTGGTTCCAACCCCAGATGGCTGCTCTGTAGGAAGAGGTGGGAGTTGTTCCAGAAGCCTGTGTGCCCAGCCAGGGTGCCTTGCCTGGGGGTCACAGGTGAGATGTTGCAGCTGGGCCTCCCCAAGCCCCCTTCTCTCTTTCCCTTTAGGGTTTTCTTCTGGTGCCCTGCCCTGAGCCGCCTCCCTGAAGAGGGAGCCCTCTGGAGCCCCGACACCCCTGGCCCTGCAGGGGGAGATGATTGACAGGATCGAGTACAATGTGGAGCACGCAGTGGACTACGTGGAGAGGGCCGTTTCTGACACCAAGAAGGCTGTCAAGTACCAGAGCAAGGCGCGCCGGGTCAGTAGCGAGCACCCACTGGAGCTGGGGTCCATCGAGCACCCTCCCCATTCTGCAGCTACTCCACCCCCACCAAGCTCCAGCCAGAGCCTTCACCACCCATCACTACACACTCCCAGGCTGTCACCCCTTCCCTGAGATCCCCCAGATCCTCTGGTCCTTGGTCCTCATTCTAGTCCCTCTCCAGCAATGCCTGCCTCTCCCTCTTGCAGAAGAAAATCATGATCATCATCTGCTGCGTGATCCTGGGCATCGTCATTGCCTCTACCTTTGGAGGCATCTTCGGATAGAAACTACCCACCTGCCGCTGCACTCTGGACGGTCCATCCCGAGGAGCCCTGGCTGCTGCTGCCTGGCTGGGTCGCCCTCCCACCCCGCCTCCTGGCTCAGACGCCCCCACCCCACCCCATACTGCCCCTCTCTGCCCTGGGCTTCCCTCTCCTGACTCTGCCCTGAGCCGTGTTGTGTGCATGATTTGTGACAGTGTGTGTCTGTAGAGGAGGCAGAGGGGAGCAGGGCATGGAAGAATGGGGGGCTAGGGATGGATCCATGCGGAGAAGACCCAGGTCTTACCCAGCTTGCTCCACCTTGACCAGGCAGGGCTGGCAGCTGGCACATACTGCCCTGGCTTGGGATCTGGGCTGCTTCCAGATCCCCACCTGGCTTCCACCTCACCTGCCCATCTTCTCTATCCTTTGGCCTCTCCAGCTGTTCCCCCAAGCCGAGCCCCCTGAAGGGTGGGGACCAGCTGACCACATGGTGCTGCTTTCTGGGTTAGGGGAGGGTGCCCCTGAGGGATAGCCCAGCACTAAGCCTCTATTAGCTGACCACTGCCAGGAGGCTCAGGGTGCCATGGCTGCTGGCTCGCCAAGATCAGGCTCCCTCTCCTACCTGGGGCAAAGCCTAGCAGGTCCTCGGCCTCAGCCTCCCTTTGCACAGCCCTCAGCCCCAGGAGCAATTTCTTTGGGGTAGGCAGGACCCCAGGTAACCCACTGGAAGATGGGACCCCAGAAGAGGCTGGCTGGCTCCTGCCCAGGTGCAGGTGACCCTTGGCGCTGGGAAGGCAGAACAGGCTCCATCAGGCCTTTCCCCATGAAGGCTGCAGCTTGGGTCAGCCACTGTCCCAACAGGCCTCATCAGTTGGGACCTTAAGCCAGCACTGCATGTTGGGGACAATGGTCCCGGCTCTTCCATGCTCCCAGAAGCCAGATGTCACTCAGGCAGGCCTGCAGTCTCATCCTGCCCTTGCTGTCCCCCACTGATGTGCCACATGGTGTCAGTGTCCCTGATGCAGTATTCAGCAGCCAGTCGCGGAGGGCTCCCTCCCTCCCCTGCCATCTTGGGGCTTCAGGTCAGAGCGTGCCCCCCCCAGACCCCTGCCTTGTGGACAGGCAGGGAGTGTGCATGCGAGTGCATGCAGCAGGGCGGGGCTGTGCAGAGTGCCCTGCATCCGTCGGCTTTGCTCCCGCCCAGTGACTGTGACCACTGTCCGTGTTGCCTTCTTGAACTGCGGCTTCTCCTCCACCCCTTCACCAAAGGTCTTGGTACAACCAGCTGCCCATTTTGTGGAATTTTTATGTAGAATAAATATTTGTATCTGTACTACAGGCCTTTGTTTGCCATTTCTCACTGGCTGCAGTGACATGGCCTTAGAACTTGGGGTGACCGTGGGCATTAACAGAAGGGGCTCAGATGCAAAGGACCCCAATCTCCCCCGGCACACATGCCAACATCTCCATCTGGCCATTCAGTGGGCAACATCCGGCCTTTCCTATGAGGACAGTTCCAAAGTCCCACCCTCACTCCAGGTTAAGTGGCCAATGCCTTGACAGAGGCGAGGCCTGCAACCTGATCCCTGGGACAGATATAACTCTAGGGTGGAGCTCCCCAGGCCCTAAGCCTCCCCTCCAGCCACCCACGAAGGGCTCAGCCCCTGCTCAGTGCCCAGTGCCTGTTCACACTTCACATCCAGCTCTAGTCCCTCTGCTCCCTGGCCCAGACCTTGGTTATCAGCTTGACAGACTCACACCATACATCCTGGAACAGGACCTGCCCCCTGACCACTTCGGATTGGACAGAGACAGCCTCTGAGGCAATCAAGTGCTGGGCTAGGAACATCACCCACCAAAACCAAGGTGGCAGAGGCCTGCAAAGGCCTCAGGCCAGTGGGCACCACTGCCACACTCACCCTGACCACCTTTCCCCACTCTGCAAGTGGGCGCGATGTGCAAGTCCCACGTGACAGGAGCCCTTAGTTCAAGGAACCTACCCTGCTCCTTGCTTCCACCCAGCTGGATCTTGAGACCCAATTCTTGCCTGGAGTCCTGCAGTAGCCCCCAACAGAGGGATTAGGGAGGCTGGGACAGGACTGGACTAGCTGGGGCAGAGGGAGGACAGAATGGGAGTTCACTTCTACGCAAAGTGGTTTATTGCTTTTAGAACAAAACAAGAAATCCTTATAACTTATTTAGTGAAAATAATTTTAGAACTTTTCTAAAATACTATGTTGTCAACTGCAGAAGTAATCACTTCAAAATAGAAAACTTCCTGGGGGCGAGAGCTGAGCTGGCGGCTCCCATGATGGGTCGGAGCTGTCCAGAGGTGGCCGCCACTTAGAAGCGCGGCTTGCGCTTGCGGCCGGTGTACTGAGTGTCGGGTCGGACTTCCCTGTGGGAGACAACAGTGTCTCAGGACAAAGAACCCGCAGCCCTCCCAGCAGGTGAGCCCTCAATGGCCATGGCCACCGCCCCCACGTCGCTGCTCCCTGCCCGCTACTCACTTGCCCTGACGTCTGCGGCGCTCCTTCTTCTCCAGCACCCACTCTCGGCTCTTCCTCACCAGGCCTCGCCGTGCCAGCCTGTAGGGAACCCTGGGCCAGAGGCGTGGCCATGAGTGGTGGACTGAGCTGCCCCTCGGCACATGCTGACAGTTTGGGAGTTTTCCCCCAATAAAGGTGGTCTCTCACTGCCCCCTCCTGCAAGTACTCCCTCTTCCATGATGGTGCGTCCCCAGGACAGCCCCCTTCCTAGTACAGGTGCTGGGGCCAGAGGTGTGCGGCCTTCACTTGGCATCTCTGTGGCAACTGTGCTGGGTGCACGTACTTCCTGCCTCTAGGGGCTGCACTACTTTGGGGCCAACTTTGGCCAAGAGCAGGTCAGTGCTGGCAGTGCCAAGGAAAGCCAGAGGCCCCCTGCCTAGGGCTGCCACAGGGGGCCCTGGTGGTCCTGTGGAGTTGGGATGCCTGGAAGTGACCAAAGGGCTCCCAGCCACTCATGTCTGAGGTAGGAAAACAAGACTACCAGGCTCCCAGCAGCCCTGACGAGGACCTCAAAGACTAATCTTGGCCCCCAGCTCTGGCTGAGGAGACGAGAACCCCACAGCGCCACGGGAGAGAGGCCACAAGAGGAAGCCTGGGCTGGTCCCCTAAAGCCACATCCTGGCCTGGTAGCAATGCTTCCAGCACAACACAGGCAAAGCTGCCCGCCACTCCCCAAGCACCCGCAGGCACAGCCTGTGGAACCAGCCTTGCCCTTCAGGTACCCCTCGAGTACACCAGGGCAGAGGCAATGCTCTCTAGGCAAAGCCAGTGTGGAGGCCCAAGAGCTGCTCAGGGTGTACCAGAAAGGAGCACAGAGAAGGACCAGAACAAGGGATCCTGGGGTGAGGAAAGACAACTGGAAGAGCCCAGAAGACCCAGGAGAGTCCTGAGAAGCAAGCGAGGCCAGAGCCAGCAAGTCCCACTGAACCCCAGTACTGTTGCACAGGTGCGTGCAGGAGCTGAGTCCCAGAAACCATAACGAAGCACTCAGCACGCAGCAGCCGCAAGCAGCAGTGGGAAAGGCCTGGGGGACATAAGGGAGCAGGTGGCTGGGGTGTGACCCACAGGCCAAGAGAAAAGGGGGCGTGGCCTCAGGAGTTTGGAGGGTCAGTTAGGATGAGGAAGCGCAGACCAAACAGGAGAAGCAGAAGCAGCAGAAGAAGCAGAGGCACAGCCTCACTAGACAAAGCCTTCAACTTGTTCCTAATCCACCTATTTGAAATTGTCCTCAATGTGATGAGACAGTAGTGACAGTAAGTTAGAAGGCTGCAGCCGCCCCTATGTCCACATTGAGCCACGGAGCAGGAGCCTGCAGAGCAAGGGAGCCACGAAGCACACACTGTGCTCCACACGTGGTGACAGGGCAGGGTCATCCCCTTTTAAACAGCTGGGGAATGGTGCCCAGTCCCCCAGCTCACCCAAGTTTACAGCAAGGACATGTGGTCAGCAGACTCAGGTATGAGGACCAAGTGGCATAGAGGTCAACACAACTGTACCCTCCTCTGCCAAGCAGACAACCCCCACCCCAGCCAAGAGGAACAACCACAGGACCCCTCAGGGGTCAGAAGGAGTGGTCTGGTGGCTGCAGGAACACTCAGTTTTCACCTTGAGACTGGTTTCATCCAGCAGAACCAGGGAACAGCTTCCCTCTCAGCCACCACATAATCCACTACACATTCAAGAATCCCGAGCACCTTCTATTAACAAGAGGCTACTGTTGATCCAACGATCTGACACCAGCCCCACCAAGATTTCATTTTAGTTGGGGATACAAATAATAACCACGCACAAGACCCAGAGCAGGGACAGGTGGAGAATGAAGGCGACAGGAAGGCCACCACAGACAGTGGGCAGGGAATCGACAGGAGATGATGAACCTTTGAGAAGAGGTCCAGTGTCGCTGCTGGGCAAAAAACAAGTTGAAATTTGTTTTCAAGTTTCAACGGATGGACGGACAGCAGGGAACCTCGGCAGTGACAGTCTAGGCCAGATTTGGGGCACATGTTGAGGGAAGGATGACAGGACTCATGGGTGGGCTGACTGGATGTCACACGTGAGGAAGGACAGGAATGACTGAGAAGGCGGGGAACTTGGGAGTCTGACGGGCAGGTGGTGAGTCCAGGCAAGGGGACTGAGAAGCTGGGAAACCTGCAGTGGACTGAGGCTAAGGCTGTGACATGGGCTCTGAAATCCTGGCTGACATTTAAAGTGGCAGAGATGAGAGCAGTGGGCCAGGCTGCCCAGCACACCACCCAGGAGAACCCACAGCACACTGAACAGGAACAGCCAGCGGAGCTGCAGGGAAGCAGGACAGGGTGAACAGCCAACAACATGTCCAGAAGAGAGTGGCCTCTGTGTCAGACCCCACTGAGCACGCAGCTGAGATGTGGACAGCAGAGGGCAGGACTGAGAGGAGGCGGATCTGGCAAGATGGGGTCAGTGGGGAAGCTGAGGGCCTGCTAGGTCGGCAGAAGAGGAAGCAGGTGGAGGCGAGCAGGCGCTCTGCTTCCCAGGAAGCAGACAGACAGAGTGACAGTGGGCAGCTGATCCGGGTTGAGGGAGGATCTTTTCTGAAACAGGATAAATTGTGTGCAGATGCGAATGACCCAGGAGAGTGGAGATGAGGATGCAGGAGAGGGAAGGGGAGCCGGGAGGGAGCCACGCAGGGACGGGGCCCAGGTGTGTGGAGGGGGCAGCTTGCCACGAGGGGCAAGGGCACCTGCGGGCTGACTAAGGGAGTCGAGCTGCCCAGACATCCAGAAGTGTCCCACCCTCCAGCTCCAGCAGAAGCAGGCACAGTTCAAGAGCGATATCCAGTTCCAGTCCCACCATGGCATCCCCACTGCATCTGAGGCTGAGGCTTGGGATGAAAGCAGAGAAACACTACAAACCTGGTGGTGACAGGCCCTGCCCCTAACCAGACTCCGCAACTGCTTTACCTCTTATTAGTGAACATGGACTCAGTGGCCTCCTCTTCCTCCTGATTTTCACTCAACCCCTGTAGGAAACAAAGTGCTCTTAGACCACCCTGCAGATCCGCAACCCTGTTGCCCAATCCAGACCCTGAGCCCAAGCTCCTGCAATAGGCACAAGGTCTGTTCCAGAAAGAGCCAACACCCTTTGGGACCTGCGGGGCAGGCAGTCTCTGCCTCCAGGTTGCAGAAATAGACATTCCTGGCTCTGAGCTCTGGGGCTTGGGCCACCTTGACCTCTGTTCTCTCAGAATGCTCTTCAGGCTAAGCTCCACAGCTGGAAATGCTGGAGACACAGGCCTAGAAACCCAGGGTCCCTCACCTTCGGCAGGAAGGTTGAAGGCCCAGAAAACAGACAGAGGTAGAACCTGAAACGAGAATGTAAGGGAGGCCCTGACTCAGAGCCCTGCGGGAAGTGGCGAGTCCCACTGGCCCTGGGACCCACCCCGGTACCACCCTGGTTCATCCGCTGGCCTACACAGCCCACCAACCCCGCTCACTTCTTTGCCTTGGCACTGTTGGGGTAGTCCACCACCACGCCACCCGTGAAGCCGGCCTTCGTGGCCTGGGTTGTGATCAGCTCCAACTGAGGAGAAAAGGGTGGGGAGCTGGGCAGGGGAGGCTGAAGGAGAAGGCACATTCCTCCCCTCAAGCAGTCAGGCTGCTGCCCAGACATGGAAGGCCTTTCTCCATAAGACACCCTCAGTTAGTCCCACAACCCCCAGAGCCACAAAGAGGCCCGCTCCTCCCTTGGGGGATTAGAGAAGGGAGATCCCCCCGGGTCTCCCTCTCCAGCCCAGGAACCCATCTCTTCATTCTAACCTCAGCAAATGAATGGCCACCAGCTGGGAGCCACTCACTCATGTGTTAGTCAAGGGGACTCGTCCTGTCTGAGTGGACATGAATTCATCATTTCTACCCACAAGGCCCAGAGCAGACACCTGCTCACTCCTTGCCCTCCCACCATTTATCTGGTTGAGGAAATCCCACTACCTGTAATACCACCTTGTCTGTCAAGAGAAGACAAGACACCTAACTGGTACCATGGACACCACCCCTCTTAGGATAACCAGTCACCATCAGGGGCTGCAGGGCCCACTCTTGGGTGCTCAGTCCCTATTCCCACTGACAGCCTGTGAGGTTCCTTGTCTGTGGTCTCCTGGCTGCCAGAGGGCAGCCGAGGGAGCACCAGGGCAGCTCCCTGTTCTGCACTCGCCACCAACTGCCACCCCCAGCAGCCAGGGCTCACCTGCTCAGAGTTCTCAGGGTACAGCTGCAGGACGGCACGGGCACCACGGGCCTGGAGGCAACAGAAATGTCACTGCCTCACAAATGCCCTAAGGATCAGGACAAGGCGGCCTTCCTTCACTAAATACTCATGAGCTCCCAGTGTGTGCAGGACGCTGATCTTAGGGCCAGAGACATCTTCATGAACAAAAGATACTCCCAAATGGTCGGAGCCCACTTTTTGGTGGTGGAGGCAACCAACTGACAGCAGTGGTAAGTACCAAAAGGAACACTCAGTAGGCTGGAGGGGGCGGGCTCCTGGGCTCCCTTTGGTTTAAGGCAGGCCTCGCTCTGAGGGCCCTGGGCGGAGTACTCATGTGGGGGCAGCTGCTGCTGGAATGAGTGAGGAAGGGGGAGCACCAAGGCCCCTGCAGCTCCAAGATGCACCCAGGGTGCGAGCGGGAGAAACCCAAAACCCTCAAGACCAGTAGCCAGCCACCTCCAGGGACCATTTGCCTGGGAAAGTGGGGTGAGGAGGGGGGACTAGGGTGGCAAACACACCCAGGTCTTTCAAACTGTGAAAGAGTTCCTTTAGGATTTAGAATTTCAAAACCCATGACTGAATCTTAGGAAAAAAAATGAAATCAACACCATTCCAGTTACAGAGACAAAATAAAGCTAACAAATGCTCTTAATGATAAATAATCAACCTGCTCCCATCTAAGGCTGACATCAGTGGGGGGGAGGGGGCGGAGAGGGAGAGACATGGGAAGGGTACAACTTCCGGAGTGCCCTCTGTGCTGGCCATGCCATTCTGTCCTCACTCTTCTCAGCCCACGTCCCCAACTTCTGATTAAAATGTAGCAGAAAGCCCCAACTTCGTAGGATGCTCTTAAAAGCCCTCTGGCAACTGACCCTGTGTAATATTATCTCCCAGAAACCCAAGGAACTGTGATCGACAGAGGCTGCCCTATTCCAAGTTCATACCTGGGTCTCATACTGACTCCAGTGTCTTTGGGGATTGATTAGTGTCAGCCCACTGCACCTGGACTTCTGTTTTGGCTAAGGGCCTGGATAGCGGCAACCACATTAAGGTCCTGCCACCCCTCCCATTATGGGACCCCTCAACTCTACAACCCAACCTGCAGGGGTGGGTAGGAAGGACAGCCAGCCCGGAAAAGGAGGAGACCTCATACTCACCAAAACAGAATACAGAGAGGAAAAAAAGTGGTACAGGCGCTTGGCAGGAATGTCGGACTTCTTGTTGGCATTACAGAGCCACTGCACAGCAGAGATGCTGAAAGGAAAGGGATCAATCAGGAGAGGGACCAACCCTTGGCCTTCCGGACTCCAGGCTTCTTCAGGCCTCTGGCACCTTCCACCATGGCCTCCTGCCCAGAACACCTTTCTTGGAAAGTGCTGGCCCATTCCTGGGCACTCTTACAAACTGGATCAAGCTAGCCAGCACTCACCTCCTGAGTCAGGCCCCCCACTCTCTTCCCAGTCAAGGAAGGGCACCCAACTGGTCCAGCTGCCCCTTTATGCTAAGGTGCTTCCTTCTGTGCCTGCCCAGGGTCTTTGCAGTCCTGATCTAAGCCTTCAGCAGTTCCCATGTCCCCCTCCCAGCTTGCCCCCACCTCAGCACCCAGGAGCATTTCAAATGCTTCTCAACCTCCCCTCACTCTGCTTCCATCTCAAACAGCCTTCCTCAAACAGATTGATTGCATTGCTCCCCACCCCCATCACCTACTAAATAAAGCCCCGATGTCTGGGGTGCTCCTAAAAGCCCCCTGGGGAACTGACCCTGTGCAATATCAACTCCCATGAAACCCTGCGTTCACCCTGTGCTCCCTGGCTCCCTCCCACCCACCGATGCCCTCTCTTGCTCCTCTTCTCTTGCAGGCCCCTCACTACCTGAATCCCACCCGGCTCCTCTCCTTCAAGGCCTTCTGCTCTTCTTCACAACTCTGGCAGGCCCCACAACTCCCCAGCACACACCCCACAAGTGGCTTTGTGTTCAGCGGCCTGGCTGTCTACGGCCCTCATAAAGCACAGACAATCTTAAAAGCAGCAACTGTGTTTCATTTCTACGTATTCCACAGCACTCTGTACAACGTCTTACGTATACAAAATGTTTTTTAAAAAATACACCATAACATCTCTTTTCTTAAAAACAAAAATGAGCCAGGCATGGTGGCACACACCTATAATCCCAGCAACTCAGGAGGCTGAGACAGGAGGATTGCAAGTTTGAGACCAGCCTCAGAAACTTAGCAAGACTCTGTCTCAGAATAAAAAATAAAAAAGGACTGGGGATGTAGCTCAGAGGTAAAGCACCCCTGGGCTCAATCCCTGGTACCAAAACAAACAAAAATAATAATAATAAAAAAATGAAGTTGGTGCAGCCATCCAAACCTCTAATCCCAGTGACTTGGGAGGCTGAAGTAGGAAGACTGCAAGTTAGAGGTCAGCTCTGGCAACTTAGCAAGATCCTAAAAAGAGCTAGGGTTGTGGCTCAATGGTACAGCATTCTGGATTCAACCCCAGTACCAAGAGCGGGGGGAGCTGGGGGTGCAGCTCAACAGTAGACTCTACACTTAGGATGCATGAGCCCCCCACCCCCCACCCCCACCCCCACCCTCATACACGACCACTAGCTCCTGATATACATACTATATTAGTGGCCTTTGGTTTCTCACAGCTTAGAACACCTCACCTAATCATTCCTGAAAAAACAACTGCTACCCTTGAAATGTCCCCTGACCTAAGTCTTACTCCTACAATTAAGAAAATCTTCAAATTCAAATATTGATTCCTCACCCTAATCCTACCCCCAACCTAGGATTGCCAAAGGAGGTATCCCCAAATGAAGGACTGTAACTTCTCCCTTATCCCAGCTTCCACTCCCAGCAACAGGGCACTGCTCCAAACACTGAACAGAACTCAGCCAGGAAGACAAAGAAAAACTTCATATTTCCAAGTCATTTCAGTGTTCTAAGATCTTTTACCAAACTAAAAACATGCCCCAAACTTGACCCAACAACCAAGAAAGAGCTCCAAAGCCAATGAAGACATTAGAGTATCCCAGGCACTCTCCACTAGTTGTTTGAAAAGAAGAAAACAAGACGTCTTCCAAGGCCCACGAAATGGCTTCTAGAGGCTCAAAGCCCCTCGACCCCAGCATATACAAGCACACAGAGAATCCATACTGAGGGGTCTGAACCTGGCAATGCAAGCTGATCACAGTAGACAGTTTTGAAATTAAGCACACATTTTTGGGCCTTCTGAAATAAATCTGAAAATCCCAGGAGATGTATACTTTCAAATATCCTGTGTGACTCTGCTATAGCCAAGTTTGGGAGCACTGGCCTACAAAATTAAGAACAGGAAATGAAGACCCTCACCTGATACAACCATCAAAGGAGCCTGGTTTGAAGGGGATGCCCTGGCCCATATCCCCCAAAAGCAGGTCTCCTTCCGTGTCTCGGTCCAAGGCTGCATCTACATGGAAGAAAAGGACATAAGAGAAGCAGACAAGGAGTACAGCTGCGCCCTACTCATGAGGGTGGCCACCCTGGTGTGAGACAGGGCATACTCACCCAGCATGGCAGGGCTGATGTCAATGCCCACCCAATAGTGCCCTTCATCTGAGAGATAATCTCCACTCAGCCCGGAACCACATCTGGAAGACACAATGGGACAGGGAGGGCCTCAGTACTACTGAGTAGCAAAAATGCTGCCAAGGCAACCTGAACCAGGCCCCAGGACCTCACCCAATGTCCAACAGGTAGCAGGGCTGACCCTCGGGCAGATTAAGGAGCTCCAGTGCTCGCCCAGCCATCTTGGTCTGGACATCGATCATCCGTGAGCTGGGAAGGCAGAGTACAGTGAGTGATAAAGGAGTGCTGGGCTTACACCTCACCAGAACAAAAACCCAGAAGAAGAAAGGAACCATCAGCCAGAGGTACTCCTTCTTGACCCTGCTCCTTGTAATTATAACTTAAATCTATTTAACAGTGGTCCTAAAACTTCATGGAATACAACAACATGCTATTTTATTGTGACATAAATTATATACACCAGCTGCTAGGCTGATGTGAAGGGAGCAAATCCTTTAGATAATAACCAACCAGTGACTAGCTACAGCTCCATCAGGCTTCAATGTTCTATTACTTATAAATATATTCTTCCAAAGAGAAAGTGACTCTCATATATAAGAATAAAAAATGCACAACAAGAACCTAAAGCAGGGTCGGGTATGGTGTCACACTTCTGTGATCCAAGCAACTCAGAACGCTGAGACAGGATCAAAAGTCTGAGGCCAGCCTCAACAACTTGAGACCTTAAGCGACTTAGTGAGAGCCTGTCTCAAAATAAAAAATAAAAAGGGTTGAGGATGTAGCTTAGTGATAAAGCCCCAGTACTAAAAGCAAAAGAACAAACAAAAACCTATAGCAGGGGCTGGGGATACCCATCGGTGGTAAAGTCATGGCTAGCATGCATCAGGCCCTGGGTTCAATCCCTACTACCACAAAATACATAAATAAACAAACAAACAAAAAAAAAACAAATAGGGCAAATAAATACATAAACAGGACATATAAGGCATGGAGTTCGATTCTCAGCACCTCACTTAAATAAATGAGTAAAATAAAGGTCCATCAATATCTAAAAATAAATAGATAAAAACAAAATCATAAGAAATAACATGCAAGTCTTGTGTGACTGTTAAGTAACTACAATTAAAAAGTAGGTAAACTGGGGCTGGGGATGTGGTTCAAGCAGTAGCGTGCTCGCCTGGTATGCTCGGGACGCTAATAAAATAAAGATGTTGTGTCCACCGAAAACTAAAAACTAAAAATTTAAAAATTCTCTCTTAAAAAAAAAAAGTAGGTAAACTGCAGTAAGTTTATTTGTAACTCCATATGTCAAATAATGGTTTATTTAATCTAATATGCCCCGATTTTTTTGGTGGGCAGGGTTCCAGGGATTGAACTCAGGGACACTTGACCACTGAGCCACATCCTCAGCCTTATTTTGTATTTTATTCAGAGTCAGGGTCTCACTGAGTTGCTTAGTGCCTTGCTGTTGCTAAGCCTGGCTTTGAACTCATGATCCTTCTGTCTGAGTCTCTCAAGCTGCTGGGATTTCAGGCATGCTCACCTCACCAGCCCCAAATATTTATTTTGATATATTATCAACATAAAACATTATAAGACATTTTACATTATCTCTATACCAAATCACTCAGACCATATTTCAATAGATGGCTTCAGGCTGCCACAATTAACAGGTCTATAGTATATCCAACTTTCTTAAGGTCAGGGGGAAGAAAAAAAGAATCACACTCCACAGTTTTCAAAATGCCTAAACATGGAGCTCTGCAGATGGAAGTCTATGTGTGTCTCGTAAAGACAAGTGGACCAGAGGTTTTTGCTGACCCTCTCAGTCTTGAACTCCAATTTGAACGGGAAGGAGAACCCGGGTATCCTGTAGAATTTTCGACAGCGTCGTATACTGGAAAGGGCAGTTTCGGAAGTCCCTGCTGAAGCTTCTACTTGCCAAATGACTCTGTACCTGTCCCAGTAGCTACCCTCCAGGCATCGCAGATACCTGTGCCAATGGCCAGCCGTCGTGCAAACGTAATGCGACAACGTACCTCGATCATGCGAACCTACCTATTATTTCCTCCCCACCCACAGAACCGACCCTCGACAACGCCCTCCGCCCCCTTCGCCAGGCGCTGGAACAGCGGCCGCCCTGCGCTCGGAACGCCACCGGGTAAAGCAGGCACGACCGCAGCTGGGCGCCGCGGTTACCGAGGCCCCACGGGGATCACGGCTTAACGCTGCCTTGACGGAGGCAGAGAAGTGGCCTCGCCCAGCTCCCTGCTCTCCCCCGCCCCCACATTCTGCATGTTTTCCAAGTAATGCCGACACTTGGGGCAGCTGCCGGGCCCCGGCCCCCCGACGCCGCGGGATTCCAGGCTCCCCTCACTTGCGAACGTATTTCCGGGCTTCATTCTGGTCGTAAAACTGCGGGGAAGAAGAAGAGAAAGGCAAGTAGAGGAAAGAATTCAGACGCCGCAGCCCTAGAAGAGGAGAAAGCGATACCCGCGGGCCAAGCGCCTCACCAGTTCCGGGGGTCCGCTGTGCTCGGGTCTCCGACCCCGAGACGCCATCCTCTAGCCTCCTCAGCACGCTGGCGTTCCCGGAACCCGGCTTTTATGTCATCAGCCCCGCGACTGCCTCGAAATGCGCATGCCCCGCCCCTCTCCCCGCCTCCTCGTGCACCTGATTGGCTACCCAGCGCCGCCCACCTCCTTTCAAGATGGCAGCTCCGCGCCGGCCTTGCTGGCCGCGGTTGTTCCTGTGGAAGTTGTGGCAAACCCGGAGGTTTCCACAGAATTCGGCGATACACCCGGACCTGCGAGCGAGGACTTACTCCGGAGGAGACGGCCCATACTCGCGCACGGCGCTTTACGAGCTGCTCGGCGTTCCCTCTACGGCCACCCAGGCGCAGATCAAGGCGGCTTACTACCGGCAGAGCTTCCTCTACCATCCCGACCGCAACTCGGGGAGCGCCGAGGCTGCCGAGCGCTTCACGCGCATCTCCCAGGCCTACCTGGTGCTGGGCAGTGCCACCCTCCGTCGCAAGTACGACCGCGGACTGCTCAGCGACCAGGACCTACTCGGGCCGGGCGTCCGGCCCTCGGCCGACCCGGCTCCCCGCGCCCCGCCGTCCAGCTGCCGGGCCCGTGAGGCTGGCGGGGCCGCCTCGGGCGCCCCCCGCACCATGTTCAACTTCGACGCCTTCTACCAGGCTCACTACGGAGAGCAGCTGCAGCGCGAGCGGCGCCTCCGGGCCCGGCGGGAGGCTCTTCGCAAACAGCAGGAGGACCAGGCCAAGAAGGGGTTCCAGTGGGAGGAAACCCGGGACACGACTTTCATTTTTCTTCTCCTCTTAATATTCATCCTCATCGGCCTTCGTATTTGATGAGAGACGGGAAGGGCAGGAGAATTGCCCAGCCAGCCCCTAGAAAACGCCCTTTCCTGTCCTCTGAACCATTGGCCTTGCGTAGTCTACTTCTGTTGGGGTCCGAAGGGATGTGCCCCTTGACCTCCCGAACCTGCCCATCCTAACTGGTGACCTGCACATCCCTGCGGTCCAGAAAAGGAGGCTTATCGATGCCCAAGAGGCCCCAGCATGAAGAATCCCAAAGGCCCCAAGTGGAGAGTTTTCGCGAGTCCCTTGGTTGCCTGCTTCCAGAGGTCGCCTTCCTGATGTCCACTTCAGGAATTCTCACTCTGGCTTGATCCAAAAGCCCTGAGCAATATTTGTCTGCTACTGCCCCGTATTTGTGTCTCGGGGCTCCTGGGTAACCTTGAAACGTGCAATATGCCCAGTTGTTGGCTGCCAAAAGAAAAATTCTGGGGCTGTACAACACTTGTCTTTCTGTGTGTTCCCCACGCCACAGATGTGGACTGATCCAGTGTAAGGATGTGGTCCGTGGAGAGCTTGCTGCTCCTCAAGGGTCTGCCCCACACCACTCTCCCTTCAGTTGGTGGCACATGGGAGTGAGAAAACAAGGTCATCAGGCATAAGGAGTGTGTGCCCCGTGTCCATATGAATCTAGTGTGTGACCTTGGAGAAGGAGTGAATCATTTGCTCTCTTGAGGCCTGTCACCCTTTATTAACCATAGTTCTAGACCATAGTGATTACAGCATGAAGGGCAGAGTTCACCTTGGGACCGTGTGCCTGTTACCTGGTCAGCCCTTTATTAGCCAGTCTGATTGCTAACTGTGCAGCCCGTCTCCTCCAAGAAATAGACTGACTTGGAGCTTGAGTCCCTGGAGGGTGGCCCATACTCCTGTTTAGCTTGCAGTGCTTATCACAGGCCCCATAAGCCATGTCCTGAAAACCAAGCCACTGGAGGCTGTGAGAAACTCGGGGGGTTTGGAGTAGCCAGGCCTCCTGAGGGTCAGAAGCCTTGTTGGTCAAAGTGGAGAGTGTTCCTCCTGCACAACTGCATGAAGGGTTGTTTGGAGTTTTGGGTATTTGGTTTTTCTCTCTGGTGCTGAGCAGCTGGGCAGTAAGACTCCTTTCACTTACCACCTGTGAGAGTGGGATGGCCATGAGATGGCAGAAGCTGGAGTGTCTATGCCCAGGGCTGAGTATAAAGCTGTGGGAGAGGAAAACCCTTACAGGATATCTAGGCCAGGTTGAGGACCCAAGTCTAGGGTATAAGCAAAGCCCAAGGTGCTTAAGTATGTTAATGCCAGTTTGTGCTCTTGATGTTTTGTGTAAGATCCTTGTATAAATTGGGGTATACCCACATATAGTCCAGCTTGATCTCTTGAAAACTATTTGATTATCTTGCCTAGGAGGCGGGGGTAAATTAGTCATTAGATTCCCAGTGATCATGATTCCGTAGTAAAGATTCAAACCCATGTAGATTCAGAGCTGCTTGGCTCTGAGCCTTGATTTACTGGTAGAAGGTTTTGGTTATTTTTTTAATTTTGTTTTGTTTCGTACCAGGGATTGAACTCAAGGGCACGAAAACACTGAGCCACATCCCAAGCCCTATTTTGTATTTTATTTAGAGACAGAGTCTCACTGAGTTTTTTAGCACCTCACATTTACTGAGGCTGGCTTTGAACTCGCTATCCTCCTGCCTCAGCCTCCCTAGCTGCTAGGATTATAGGTGGGTTTTGGCGACCCACTAGAGGATATGTGTACTTTTTAAAAGAACATTTAATGTTGTTATGTTTCAAGTTCTCTTTTGTACATATAAACTAGGGGAAGCGGAGCTTAGCAGAATGTGCACAAGTGAGTGATTTCTCATCCAAGAAAGCAAGGCTTGACAGTACTTGGGGTGGGGGCTTTTGTTTCCATCAGAAGGGCTCTTTAGTTTGGGTTTGTAAAAGCACTAGGGATCTGTAACACCATGCACCCATGACATAGACCTTACGTTTGTCTTCTCCCAGCCAAGAATGTTTCCTGTGGCCCTAGAACCAGTAGATAACATAGAATTTTACAGGTTTCAGACTGGGGGGATGGTTCTCAACATGAAAATTCTGGGGACGTTCCATAACATTCTATGCAACTCTAAACAGGTTAGTTTGTAAAGTTTATTAAGCATCATCCACCTGGTCAGCCTCTCCTGTGGCTGTGACAAGGACCACTGCACTCTGAGAGTGTCCATCCCCATAGGCTTCTGGTCTTTTTTAGGCCACAGCCGAGCTCTGAGAGGCTCTATCCCTGCTGTTCCTAAAACTGAGTCTGAGTCTTCATGGAAAGGGAGATGTGTGGGAGGACTTTGAAGGATCCCCAACTGGTTCCCATGATAACATTTGTCTCCCCCTTTCCTGATTGTCTGAGTCTTACTCTACCTGCCCTGGCAAGAGGAGGCTGCCATGGACACTAGCCTCTGTCTTGTAGGGCTTATCCCCCTAGTCCTGATCCTGCAGGAAGGCTCAGACATGCCCAGTCTTAGTCATTTTTCTTCTTTTGGTTGCAAACTAAAATCTCCCCTGAAGTTTGGACCTAGAACGAGAGACTAGCAAAAAGGGCCAAATCTGCCTCAGGCTGTGCTCAGTGGGGTGGGGAAGGGGGTGCAAGTACAGTAGAGGTCAAGAGAGCAGCAGGCACCAGGCCCAGGTGGGAAGACTTGGGCAGCCAGCAGGGACCAAGATGCATGTGTGTAGGCAGTTGTGTGTGGTCCTTGGAGTTGATCAGAACTGTGTTCCTTTTGAGCCAAACTGCTCCCCCCTCATTGCTCTTTTATTTTATTGCTGGGTAAACTAACCCTTTGCAGATCCCAGCATTGACAGTAAGAGTCCTACTTTCTTCTGAGATCCCGGCTGTCATCCTGTGGGTGCATCTTCAGCCTCTGTCATGGAACCAGAAGGAGCCAGCCTTAGTCCAAGGAGTCATCCCTTGGATCACAATTGACTCAGGTCTTCACAGGTGCCAAGCAATTGGCACCAACACTCCTTTTTTTGAGAAATGGGAGAAGCCTGAGTCTTGAACCTTTGGGCTTTCAGGGAGGTCACCAGACCCCACGAAAACAGGCGAAGAGAAAGGACATTGGTCAGTGGTGGTACTCCTTCAGTCCTCTCCCTCACACCCCCTCTTCTTTTTTTTTTTTTTTTTTTAGAATTTTAATATTTATTTTTTTAGTTTTTCGGCAGACACAACATCTTTGTATGTGGTGCTGAGGCTCGAACCCGGGTCGCACGCATGCCAGGTGAGTGCGCTACCGCTTGAGTCACATCCCCAGCCCTCACACCCCCTCTTTTAAAGTGCTATGGATTGAACCCAAGGCCTCACACCTGACCCTGGGCATGTATTTTACTGCTGAGCTACATCCCCACCCCCATCCATGCTCTTGAAGTTGGTGCACGAGAATGTGGGCTCTAACCTGGCCTTTGCGTACTCTCGATTCATCTGCCTGTGATTAAGTCACATACTGCCATCTGCCCATGCACAAGAGCATGGCAGAGAACCTGCCTCTCCTGCCCCCCAGCTCAGCTCTGGGATGTAGCTTATAGCCCAGAGAGATTTGTGAAGAGCAGTTGAGTGTCCCTCTGTTAAGGTATGTGGACCTTCTGACCTTGCATTGCCAAGAACGCTCTCATCACAGCAGGTAGCCCATATGGGGGGGGGGGGTTCATCTCTCACTGGCTGTCCTGAGGTCACTTGGTCCTGTGACTCTAGACATATCTCCAATTGCCATCTCAGGCCTGGGATCCTGCGGCTAATCTTGAGGCTGGTTGACCTCCCGCTCACCCTACCTTTGCCCCTTTAGCATCCACACCCTCAGTCCAAGGAGGGGATGCATTAGACACAAGAAGGCCTATTTCAGAAGACCTGGGGCAGACAGATTTGTGGTTCATGGGCCACAGCTAACCTGTTTGGCTGGGATGTGTCCTAAAATATCTTAAACCAACATTCAAAACTTGGGAGATTTTTGCAGAAAAATAGATTGCTAACCTCTTGAAAAATGAGAATGTCTGCCACCATTGAGCTGACTTAATTTCCTGGGCACTGTGGGAGAAGCCAAGTTAACAGCCACTCACTCCTAGATGAACACTGCTTCCCAGGCTGCTACATGCCCACCAGCTGGAAGAGGTGAGGTACACAAGGCCTCCATCCACACACTTGCACCATGTCCCCAGAGCACAGAAATGTCTTTCTGCGTGTCCACCAAAAGGGGAAACCAACCAGCTTGTCCCTTTTAGAAACCATTCAGCAACCTCTTGTCTGGAAGGTTGGGGTGAGCCTATAGCCAGGGCTCTGCAAGGCCACAGTGGCTCAGGCCTGCATAGCTCAGTGAGCCTTGATGGTCCATCTCTGGACAAGAGAGGAAGCCTAGAAAATGATGGGAAGCCAGTGATTCCCAAACCAGGAGGCATATGTAAGACTTTCTGAGAAACAAGAATTTTGTGTTTATCCCAAAGGGTAGGAGATTTGTTATTTGGGGGTATTTTTGGTTTGGGTTTATAAAAGCAGTAGTGTCTATAAAAGGACCTTGATGTAGTCCCTCAAGTTTGTACTTTTTCACAGAGGATTATAGTCAGGATCATTCCCTGGGGCCTTAGAACCTGGAAGCAGAAAGTCTTAGAAAGGAGGAAGGGCCCAGAATGCCTGACCTCTTCCAGAATATTCCAGAATACTCCATGTGCCTTCAAGCCAGGGGCTTCCTGAAGTTTTTTAGCCATCCAACTCGCCTCTCCCTTGGCCCACCCAGGAAGCCCACTCCATCCCCACCTACCTCAGGTCTTGACCAGGCTTGAGCTGAACAGTGAGAGGCCTCACTCCCTCTACAGGTGGGTCTGAGCTCTTGGTGGAAGGTGAGGTGTGTACAGGGCCTTTGGAAGGACCGCATCTGGTTCCCATGGTATCACTCTTCTCCCTCCCCAGTCCCACTCTTACCTGGGTCTTTCCTTTGCTGTTCACCTGCCCTCTTCAGACTAGATGCTGCCTCTAGAGGCCATTCCCCAAGTCACGATAGCAGAGAAAAGCTTGGTCATGCCCAACCTCAGCCCCATCTCTCCTGATTACAATCAAAACTCCTGGAAGCTGGGATGAGGAATGGATTCCAGGGCAAGAGAGGTTCAACCTGTCCCAGCTGAGACAAGAATGAAGGTTTCCCTCACTGATGAGTCGCTGTCGTCTCAGCAATGGAGCAATGAGGCCAGGGTGGGACAGGGTGTCTTGAGTGGGCACTCATGGTTTTAACTGTACCCCTACTAGGGGCAAGTCACTGGCCCAGAGGGCTCTCTGAAGCTCACATGGGCCTGCTCCTCCAGCTGTTGCCTAATCTCTAAAGGCCCGTCAGGCACTGTGATGCCTCCATGTGAGCGCAGCACTCAGGGCCTTGACCGAGCGCGGTCTGCTTCCATTGGTCTCCTCTGACTCTGGCACCACAGGGTACAGTCCTTTAGAAATGCCAAAGCTAAACACCACACACGTGCGTTTCTCAACAGATCCCTCCTGGGACTTAGTTCCACTCCTTCCAGTCCTTATTCCTCCAAAGGTGCCCTTTTGGGATCTCTATCTTGTAGTGTCAAACTTCAGTGGGATGCAGAGCCAACCCAAGACCTCCCTCATTCAAGATGGTGCAATTCTTACTCTCACGAACCAGACCAGGCCAACTTTGCAAGCTTCTATGGCACTCTGACAGTCCCCTGTGCCTGCAAGCACTTCCACACCTCCCTGAACATCATTCTTTTCCTTAGCCGGGACCCAGGTTGAGCCAGGGCATGTTCCTGCTCACCCATATTCTTGCCCACACTCATCAGCCAAGTTGACCTCCAGTCTCCACCTGGCTGAAGACAAAGCCCTTCTGTCCCACAGACACTCCATCGCCCAGAGAGGTGGTCATCTGGCAGGCCAGAAGGAGCAGGTGCCATCCTGACTGGGCTTACAAGAGACCCCGGAAAAGAAAGCGCGTACAGGTGGAGCAACTGGAGGCCGCAGTGGAGCAGAATGTGCTTCTGGCCAGAAGTGCTGGGAGATAAGATTTAGGAAGGGCTTTCACAGGTTGGTGACCAGAGGAGGCTTCGCAGAAGAGGCAGCAGCAGTGCTGGACCTGCAGGACGCTGGGCTTTGGGTGGGTGGAGAGGAAGGGAGGGCATCTCAAGAGGAAGCGGCCCAGAGGCTGAACTGTGGAGGCTGCGCCCGCAGAATGGCTGGCCAAGGGAGCAGAGAGGAGTCTGGCAGCGCGTCATCCGCATCATCACATTTATTGACGGCCCCTAGGAAGCGGGGCTGGGGACAGAACATACAAAGACAAGGACCTGCCCTCAAAAAGGTTCCATTCTAAGGAGACAGGGACAGAAAAATACAGAATGGTCTTTCCTGGGGTGGCCTGCTCTCACTGGCGCAGGTCAGAGCCCTAGCCTATCTTGCCCCAGGGTCTGGAGCAGGTGCAGAGCACGTAGCAGCCCCAGGGCCGTGGTGTCCCTGCCCCGCAGCTGGGGCCTTGACCACCTGGCTCCTAGGTGGTGGGCCCCAGAACTGGGGGAAAAGTAGGCTCAAGACCTGATGGAAACACTCCTGTTGGCCTTGGCGTTGCACGCACCCAGTGGAGTGGCAGAGTGAGACAGGCCCCAAGGGGAAGCGGTACCGTCCTGGCCCCAGGCCCCAGGCCCTGTAGGTAAGTGAAGTTCTTCCATGGGGCTGGCCTGTCACCCCAGAGGCCCCAGCCAGGGAGACAAGAAAGGCAGAGTTTCCTCATCGCCCGAGGCCCAGCACCCTGCCCACCCTACCCAAGCCCTCTCTGGGCCTCTTGGGGTGACCCTCCTCCCCAGCTCAGCCTCCAGGGCCAGGGCCTGCCTGAGGCCAGGGGGAGGGGCCTGCCCCTCCCCCCACCCAGGCAGTGGGGGAGGAGGAGGAGCCACGAATCAAGTTTGTCTAGGCCCCCCACTGGGGGGCCACAGCCTGGATCCTACCGGTGGGGGGGCTCTGGCTGAGAGGGCCGAGGGCTCAGCAGAGGGGCTGGGCCAAGAGGGCACCCAGGGGAGCCCTTGAGTGGTGGCACTGGGCGGGAGTCCAAGGGGGGCAGGCTCCGGGGCACTGATGGTGGCCCCCGGGCAGCCCCAGTGGGCAGGACAGCTGCAGCAGGGAAGGGCTTGGGGGGGTCCGCGGCCGCAGTGGGGGCTGGCTGGGCAGACCGCTCCCGTCGCCGCAGCAGCTCCTGCAGCTTCTCAGCCTGTGTCCGCCTCAGGTGCGCCAGGGCCCGGCCGCGCTGGAAGGCCGGCAGGAAGGCCTCCAGGCTCTGCTCCCCCAGCAGCAACTGCTCCATCTGCTCCTGGGCAGAGGGAGAGAAGGCTTGGGAGAAGCATGGCCAGGGACAGAGTCCCTCCCCATGGCGACCACCGCTGGGAACAAGGGCCCCTGCGTTCCAGTCTGGACCAGCCTGACTTGCTGAGTGACCAGGGATAAATGCCCTCCTTACTTCCAAAATGAGGATGTCATCACCAGACCTGCCAGGTCAGAGCTGAGGAAGGATCAGAGGTGGGCACATACAGGTGTCTCATCAAGAGAACTCAAGCAGGGTCCTCTTCCCCTGTGTCCTTCACCTCATGGGGTGCCACACTCCCAGCCTAGCACCAAGTCCACTCAGGTCTCCCGTAGACCCCTCCCAACTCCACTTCTCTGAGACATTCACAAGGGATCAAGGGCAAAAGTCATAGGTGGGGACAGTGAGCCATTCTATCCAGGGTTGGAGCAGTACAGACAGCCACAATGGGCTATGGCCAGGCACTCAGGGCAGGCTTCCCAGAGGAGGAGCTCCCAAGTCTTCGATGTAATGAGACCAGAGTGGATAAGATGGGTCTCCCTCTGGTCCCCATGCAGACCCAGCCACCTCCCCTCACCTCCGCCTCCTGCTCAGCCTCTTCCAGCTCAGCCTGTAGCCAGCCCAGCGCACAGTGAGGGCTCCAGCGATGCATGCTCTCCTCTGAGGGCCACAGAGGGACACAGTGACCAGCTAGGATGGACAAGCCAGAGCCCCAAAGGCCGACTCTCCCACTGACTATGATTCCACACTGCCCGTCTCCTCTCTGGAGCCTTAGATTCCTCATTTGCACAGTGCCCATGTGATTACCTTGTGGGTCCCTCCCCAATAAGATTATGCCCCCAGTTCAGTGAAGAAGGGAAGGCAGTGACTTTGTCTCCCAGAACACCCAGGGGGCACTTGGGTATTGGACCCAATTCTCCCACTTCCTGGGACCACACTCAGCCTCTCCAAGCTAGGTCCACCCACCTAGAGCCCCTTCCCCAACTCCATTTTCCAGAAGGCTAGGAATAGCACCCCTCAGATGTACCAAGGAGTAGGTCTGCCCGAGTCCCACCCTTCAGAGCCTACTACATGCTCTGGTCAACTAGCCAGAAGGCCAACTGCTCCCCCACCCCAGGCAGTCTTCCAGATGTCCCCTCACCAAGTCGCTGCAGCTTGTCAGCACAGTTCTCAGCCACCTCTCGAAGCTCCTGGTACTTGATGGCCAGGGCTGCTCGGCCCATCTCCAGGCGGGGCCGCAAGGCCAGGTTCTCCTTGGCCAGGGCATAGTTGGAGGCCAAGCATGCCTCCCGCTCCAGCTGCAGGCCCTGGAACTGCCAGCAGAGAAGAGCTAAGAGGGGCCCCCGGGAGTCTGCCCAGGCTCACCTTGCTGCCATCCTGGGCCATAGTAGTGCCTGTGGGCCAAGCTGAAGGCACCAGCAAGGCCCCAACCTTCAGGGCTGCAAGCCCAACAGGTGGAGGGAGTGCGGTGGCAGGGACTCAGTTTTGCCTTGAGCTCCTCTTTGGACCTCAGTTTCCTCTTCTACAAAGCGAGTTCAAAACACCCGTCTTATGGGGTCATTGTGAGACTTAAGTGAACAAAACTATGAAGGCCTCTACAAATGTTAGTTAATTTTTAATTTTTCAATTAATATGTCTGCTCGGGTCCCTGAGGAGTTCCCCTCCCTCTTCTGTCCCATTTTCCATGCATGGGCAGCTTCGCTCCTATTCCAGGCCTTTGTCTGTTTCCTCCTCAGGTGTTTGTGCTGAAAACACTCCCACCCCAGGGCTGACTCTCCGGAGTGCTGTCTGCACCCTGTCCCTTGGCAGCCCCCCCAGTCAGGTCACCCTCTCTTCCCTTCACACCCCTCCCCTGCCCTCCAGTGGAATCCCACGCCCCCGCGCATACACACCCCCTTTTCCTCCCTGATCCCCAGCACCTGCTTCCTGCTCTGGGCTGGCAGAAGGCGGCCCCCGGCCCTGGAGAAGTCTGGGAGGGCCGAGCCTCCCCGCCTGCCCCTAGGGAACGCACTCCCCTCCATCTGTCCCCTGTAGGATGCACCTGCCCCTCCTGTCTGCCTCCTGCCCCCGCGGACACCCAGCCCGGGCCTATCGCCCGTGAAACAGACAACTTTCTCCTCCGGTGGCCTCCGGAACGCGCGGCCCGCGCTCGGCAGCCGCCCCCCCCCCCCCCCCCCCCCCCCCCCCCCCCGCCCCCCCCCCCCCCCCGCGGCAGACACAAAGCCCCCTCCCGCGCCCAGACGGCGCAGCCCCCGGCGGAGCCCCGGGTGCCAGACAGGCCCCGAGTTCGCCCCGCGGAAGGCGCCTCCCCTCTCCGGCCCTGCGGAGCGCGGGCGCGCGAGCGGGGCCCCGACACGGCCGCCCCTGCCCCCCGGAACACACCTCCCGAGCATCCGCCAGAGGACCCGCCTCGCGGCCGCCCCGGGCGCACGGCGCCTCCCGGTCCCGCGCCCCGCCCGCCCGCCCGGCCCGGCGCCCCCTCCCCGGGCGGCCCCGC